AGTCACTACCTAGTGGTTCTATGGACCCACTCAGCCCCCTATGATTCAAACTTGAATTAAGACTCTATCTCTCGGAGTTCGATTGGGGAATCAAAGGGACATATGTAATACTTTCAACAATAAAGATTTTTTTTTAAAAGACTGTCTCTCACTTGTCCACTACAAGCCCCCACTTAAACTGGTACACTGAAGTGATATTTTGGGCCCCCAGGAATTAACATAAATTTGGTGCCAATATTTAGAAATCTCTAAAAACCCAGATATTTCTTTTTCCCTAGCACACCATCATTTTACAAAATGGCCAGACATCCCTGTGGAAAAGACAGAGGAATATTTTCAGCGTATATTAATGGCAGTGCTGCAGAATTCTCCTTTAAGGGGATTCAGCCTTCCTTTCAGTTAAGAGACTTAGGTTTGGAAACTGGGTAAAAGGTCTGAATTTTCCACTGTGGTGACTGAAGTAATATTTTTTCCACCATATGTGGATTTTTATTTTTATTTTATTATTTTTAATATATTTTTATTGATTTTTCACAGACAGGAAGGGAGAGGGATAGAGAACCAGAAACATCGATGAGAGAGATACATCTACCAGCTGCCTCCTGCACACCCCCTATTGGGGATGTGCCCACAACCCATGCACATGCCCTTGACCTGAATCGAACCTGGGACCCTTCAGTCCGCAGACTGATGCTCTATCCACTGAGCCAAACCGGTTTCTGCTGGATTTTAAATATTATGTGTAGTTGATCAACATTTCAGCAAACTGGCCATCTATTTTATTCCTAGGACCACCATAATCATTTAGCCATAAAGATCACTAAGGGTCAAAATACCTGATTACCACTATATCTATACTTCTCTTTATGGTAAATGTACTCACCTTGTCTTTGGTGGTTAAACACTGACATTGACCTCTGATGCTTTGAAATGGATCATCCCATCATGCCCAGCCTACGGATGAAAGCTACCACAGAGCTTTCCAAGGACGCAAGCACTCCCACTCTCTAATGTATTTTTCAGTGCCTTAGTAATGTCCCCTAAGTCCTCTAGGGAGATGTACTTGGGGTAGTAGATGTGGAGGTCATATGTGATAAATCTATTTCAAAATTCTTGTCTCCCTAAGCCTTTGGATCTCATTGTGTTATGTTAAGGAAGTTCTGGTAGCTCAATTTGAATAAACATAGGCCACTGTGGAGTCTATGTTTTAGTGAACTCACCAAATGGTTAGTGTCACTCCCAGCTATAAATGCTAACACATTAAATCCTTACTTCCTGATAAATGTACCCATAGCAAGAAATTCTAACCAGACCAGTGCTCCTTGCTTTAACTCCCTTATAATATATTAGCACACATTCCCTGAGTTTCTGCCACTATGTAAGCAAATAGTGAAAATCTTTTGCTATAAAAGCCATTTCCTCCTGGTCATACTTTGTATTTGCTCTGTTGGATTATTTCAAGATCTGATTTTAGTAATAATTTTACTAGAAATAAGAGGTTGTTGTTGTGAATCTTGAGGAAAATGGGCAGCCCCCTGCAAAGCTATTGCCCAAGATAAGATTATTACAATGTTTTCAATTAAGAGAAGGCTAGTCCCCACAAACACAGGAGAACAAACTGCTTCCATTGGCAAAAGAGGCTCATAGTGGCTCATATGTTTGAGATTCTCAGTCTCCTAGTCCAATTAAATGTCACCATTCTAAATTTCAGGGTCCCCCTTATTACCAATCAGTGCCCCAATTTTTACATAAGTAACATAGCTAGATTGTGAATTCAATTTATGTCACAAGTCTGCAACCATAATTTTTGAAGAATAGAACCCTTTATAATTAATTATATAATGTATTTGTTACAGTTTTTGGCTTATAGCCTATTTTGTCTCTTTTGGTTTTCCCTTTACATGGAATCTCTTTTTACATACCTTCACTTTCGTCTATATGTGTCCCTTAAACTGATGTGAGTCTCTTGTAGTTATCATATAATTGGGTCTTGTTTGTGTAATCCACTAAGCAACTCTATGCATTTTGATGGGAGAATTTAATTCATTTACATTTAGAGCAATGGTTAATAGGTAAGAACTTACTAATGTCATGTTATTGTTTTCTGAATGTTTTATAGTTCCTTTCTCCTCTTTTGCCTTCCTTTGTGAACAGATAATTTTCCATAGTATGTTTTGATTCCCTTCTCTTTATCTTTTGTGTATCTCCTTTGGATTTTTGCTTTGTGGTTAACATGAAATATAAACATCTAATAGATGCAAAATTTATTTTAAGCAGATAATTTCAATCACACACAAAAACTCTACCCTTTTACTCCCCTCTATACACACATATTTTATATATTTACTTTTTTTATATTGCATATATATTAGCAAATTATAGTAGCTATTTTGTTGTTGCTAATCCTTATCGCAGGATATTTTTCCATTGATTTTTTTTAGACAAAGTCAAAGGGAGGAGGAGAGAGAGACAGAGAGAGAAACATGATGTGAGATAGACATGTTAATTGCTTGCCTCCCGCACATGCCCCAACCAGGACTAGGGAGTAAGCCTGCAACTGAGGTACATGCCCTTGACTAGAATCTAACATGAGACCCTTCAGTCCATTAGCCAATGCTTTATCCAGTGAGCTAAATCGGTTAGGGCCTTAGCTTTACTTTTAAGTGTTCATCAAGAAAGTTTTACATTAAGCCTTTTTTCTTCTTCTCTAGCTATTGTTACTGGATGAGCTACACTAGCAACTTCCTACAAAGACATTTTCTATCGATACTCAGTGGATCAAGATTCATAACAAATCTAATTAAATCAAATATCTTTTAGTAGTCTGAGTAATCAGAATAATGTATGATTTCTTTTTTATACCGGGAAACCCCTTCCTCAAGGATAATTGGCTGCTCTTTATATATGACTGATAGTCTTGCCAACCAAGATGCCTAATGCTGCAAGTCACCAATTTACAAATCTATTGGGAGTGTATGTGTGCAGAGTCCTAGACTAAATTTACAAAGGGTAGCTCACAGCCAACAACCTAAGTGGAATGACTCTAGAATCTTATGGGTGGGAGTGTGAGGTGTGCAGAATGCTGTACACTTTGAGTAATTCAGATGCAAAGTAATGCTATTTAGACTGGACAATGCTTCCATCATTTTCCAGTGGTCTTGATTCTGCAAAACTTCCTACAAATGCATCATAATATATTTCAGTGGCATTCAGATTCTTACTGGACACTTCTGTCAGACTATCAAGCACCAGGCCTCTAGTATGCATATAAGATCTTTGGTTAATCTCTTCCTGCCCTCCTCCCTTCCCCCTTTTCTTCTGAGATTCATCAGCCTGTTCCATGTTTCCATGCTTATGCACTGAGCATCTGCCTCCTGGTGGTCAATGTGTATCATAGCTACCAGTCAAACGGTTGAATGGTCAAACAGTCACTTAGGCTTTTATATATATAGATAATCTATTACATGAATGCTTCAAACACTTTTTGAACTTTCATATCCTCTTGTGTGTGTATTGTTCGTTCTGCCTCAAATAATTTTCCCCACACCTTTATACAAAAGGTCTTTCTAGTCCCTGAATACAGCTTGAAAATCTATTTTTCTGTGAAAAATTCCCTGATCTCTCTAGAAAAAGATATCACTTAATCCTCTGTGTTCCTGGAAATTTTGTATGTGCCTGTACTTTTGCACTTTGCAAAGTGAGTTGCATCTGTTTATTCGTTTTTCCCTCACTAACCTGGGAACCCCTTAAAGGCAGGCCTGATTCATGTTTTTAACCCCAGTGTTTACCTGCATATAGAAGGCACCCAAATAAAGTTTCCTGAGTTGAATTTATCTGGGTGTTTCCAAACAAAACAGAATGCAATTCTGTATAACTTCCTACAAATGCATCATAATATATTTCAGTGGCATTCAGATTCTTACTGGACACTTCTGTCAGGCTATCAAGCAGGTAGCTTAAATGTAATGCCAAACAAAACAGAATGCAATTCTGTATAACTTCCTACAAATGCAGAAATGGAAGGATGCTTCTTAGCAGTTTCAGGAGATGGGACACTATAAGCAAAGAAAGCAGTCTGTGAGAATGTACAATTGGGACCTATCAAACAAATCTAGTTTATATATGAACTGCTTCAAAAAGGCTTCAAGGCAGCTATTTTTTAAGTGTTGGAATCTGTTGTCTCCAAAGGCAGTACTTTTGGTTTATTCAACTATATCATGTGTTATGTTGATAAAAAGGCGAATATTCTAGTACATTATAAGCATAATATTTCAGATTAAAGAGTCCCTAGATTGTAACTGCCCTAGAGATAGAGGCCATGAATATAAATTTGCTTTTTACACAGCACAGACTAGACTAAACATTCACAAAGTCTTAAATTAATTTTGGCACAGAAGTGATTTTGATAATCTGTGGTTGAATCTATAGTCATTTGCAATGAAGTGGGGACTTGGTAATTATCCAATTTAATTCCTTAATATGAATAAATAAAACAGATAAATCACATTCCTTTCAGAATTCCCCTTCCAAAAAAAATGCTTTTTAGTGAGATTATTATTCTAATGTCTTGTCAGCCTTTCTCACATGAATTAGGTAGCCATCAAAGTTTTACTTCACCTCATCTTGTTTGCTATTTCAAAGAATGACAATGTTTTTAAAAATTCAATTGCATTACTGTTGCTGGTGTTTTTTCTTAATGATAATAGTAATGATTGCTGGGGTGAGTTTTCCTGTCTTCCTGAGCACTAGCTTAGCATTAATCTAGCTTTGGTCAGTAATAACAGAAATAACAGTATTACAGTTTGAAAAATTTAACAGTTGAGAACTCATTACCATTCAATAGAATGGTGGGATGTGGTGAGGGTCAGGGGAGATTTTGATCTTTCAGAGTACCTTTTGTTGTCTATTAATACTGTCTTTCTCTCTTTTTTTTATTTTTTATTAATAATGGTCTGCGAATAGTTTCCTCTACCATTTGATGATATTTTTCACTGGTCCAAATGAGTGAGTCAGCAAATCAAGAAGAACCCAAACCTGCTCAGGTACCTGGCCTAAATAGATGCCTAATCATTTAACCATGAGAGGATTTGAGACTCAGTTTTCTTGGGAGAATTAGATGAAATATCATACTCTATCATTTAATTAATTCTTTTTAGTTGAAGTATTCTGCATCAGATTTTGACAAAAATGCAAAAAAAAAAAAAGAAGAAAATAAAAGGGGGGGGGGATCGACTAAAAAGCAGTGGCCTGCTTCTAGTTGGTTGACATACCTTATCTATATAATAAAAGGCTAATATGCAAATTGTCCCCTTGGGAGTTTGACTGCTAGCTATGACATGTGCTGATCACCAGGAGGTGGCGCTGAATGAAAGGAGGCCCTGGCTGGCAGCTGGCAGCTGGGGAAGAAAGGCTCTGGCCTGCAGCCGGCAGCTTGGGGAGGGAAGGCCCCAGCCAGCATTCAGAAAGCCCGATCGGCCCTGATTGCTGGCCCGGGCTAGGGACCTTACCTGTGCACGACTTTTGTGCACTGGGCCTCTAGAATATTAATGAGCCTGTTACTGTTTGAATTTGTTAAAATACTACCTTGGTGTGATTTTATTTGATATGATGTTTACTCATTATGTGAAAAATTTTAACATTAAAAGCTTGCTATACTAGAGTATAAAGTATTAGTTTATCTACAGTTCCTTCTGGATAACACTTATTAACACTGTTTCCATTTTAGGAAAATGGAGAAGAAAACAAAGAAAGGAAACAGGAAGCAACTAATACGAATGAGCCCACTGAGGTAGAATTTTCATAAAAAGTCAGATATTAGCCGCAACCGGTTTGGCTCAGTGGATAGAGCGTCGGCCTGCAGACTGAGGGGTCCCGAGTTCAATTCTGGTCAAGGAATGTACATTGGTTGTGGGCACATCCCCAGTAGGGAGTGTGCAGGAGGCGGTTAAACGATGTTTCTCTATCATGTTTCTAACTATCTATCCCTCTCCCTTCCTCTCTGTAAAAAAATCAATAAAAAAATATATTTTTAAAAAAGTCAGATATTAATGCTGGAGAGTAACTTGGACAAATTAATTTTCTTATAAAAGAAGGAAAAGAAAAGATGTGGATATTCAAACAGATAAATAAAATGGCAAATGGTAAATTAAGCTGACTCCTTTGAATCAGTTGCAGGATGCTTCCATAGATAAATTATTTGTGAAGAGCTATTATGAATTATACACAAATAAAGATTGCTTTCTAGAATCAGAACTATTACCCTAAATACAATAATCACCAGTTTTTAGGGTAATTTCATGATCATTCTGAACTTTCCATGTTAATCATTTAAGTAACTTTGTGTTTAAATAAATACAAAACTTATATGAGAAAGCATTTTACAGTAAAGAGAAACAACTGAAAATAGTTATATGGATTCACCATTAAGTTGACTAATATGAATCTCTAAAATATTCTATTCTTCATCTTTTAAAAGTACACTGTCATAAGTACAAAAAGCTATTTTGCCCCTATTTATTCATAAAACTAACCTTTCATTTCCTCAATTAAGATGAAATGTTTCCTTTCACCCACAAACATGGAAGATGATTCCAATAGTAAAAGAAATACTTTCACCCTCGCCTGTTTGACTCAGTAGATAGAGTGTCAGCCCATAGACTGAAGGGTCCCGGGTTTGATTCCAGTCAAGGGCATATACCTTGGTTGCAGGCTGGATCCCCAGTGGAGATTGTGCAGGAGGCAGCTAATTGATGTTTCTATGTCATCAATGTTTCTAACTCTCTATCCCTCTCCCTTCCTCTCTATAAAAAAATCAATAAAATATATTTTAAAATATTTTCAAAAGTCTGATTTCACTATGCTGTGAATTATGTTTCTAGAAAGTATTGTATAATTCAAAGATTAATGTACTTGTAGCATAATATTCTTAGCATATTACTTTGTTAGCAATATGAAGATGTGTTGACACATTGAGCCAATACGTTTTATCTTGTGAATGCAGTAAATAGACTGATTACTACATTGCTTCTAATATACAGCATTAAATCCTAGAAAAAAGTAAGTAGGGATGTTTGGCAACTATAAGGTATTCATCTACATTCTTTAATTGGGAGAGTTGATACAATTTTGAAGAAGAGCAACTCATTTTGAAAGGCTTTTTTTTTCTTTTTTCTCTTTTCAGAGTTCATACAGTTTAGCACAAAGTTCTGCATTAGATGTTGGCAAAGATGGGGAAGAAGAAACAACAGATGAAATGAAATTGGAAGGTAGAGAACTAGCCATTCCCCTACAGCAGCAATTTTCAATTGGTATGCTGTGGCAGGCACACTGGTGTGCCACAAGAATTTTTAAAACATGTAATTCCTGACGATTTAGTTGGGGCACTGACCTCTTTTCCCTTAGATTGTCAAATTTAAAAAATGACAACATGACAATGGCTATCTGGTATGAATGAATCAAAATTGTACCTATATTTTTTTTGTCAAATCGGCAAAAATACTTTTAGTGCACTGAAGAATTTTAGTAACTAGTTTATGTGTTTTATAAGATGAAAAAGATTTAAAATTGCTGCTCTGAACAATAGATTTTAAAAATATTACATAGTTTTTATTAGGGATTCCTTTTTCAAGGTTTTGCCTTTTAAAAATATAATCTTAGGAGTATTTTAAGTGCAGTTTGGAAAATAATTAAAAATATATTCCCTTTAACTTCTATTAATACTTTTAAGGGAATATTATGACTATTCATCTTGAACTAAAAGAGGAAATGAGCTAAGATTGGAGACATACCAGAAAATCTATTAACCCTATATAATAAAAAAGTGTAATATGCTAACTGTCCGACCATTGGACCAGTCCACCAGTCGCTATAATGTGTACTGACGATCGACAGGTAAGTTAGCTTGCTGCTGAGGACTGGACACACCCTAGAGCCCTCCTGCAGTCCTTCCTGAGCGGCCAACCTCTCGCAGATGTTCCTGGATGGCTGGCCTCCATTGGCCCCACTCAGGACTTGAGTGAGACAACCTGATCTCTGGCCAGGCTGAGGGACCCCACTACTGAACGAATTTGTGCACCAGACCTCTAGTACAAACATAAAATGGGGAGCCATGGTGATTAGGCCTGCATATTGTTTTTTCTTTTTAACTTGACCACACATTTATTCTGTCTGACTTCTAGTCCTATACTTAACTGAAATCCCACATAATTATGCAGATTGAAAATACTGTATATTATGATTCAGAAGGCAACAAGTGGGAAAGACATTCATTCCTTCCACTAGTTTGTCTTTTTTAAAATATATATTTTTATGTTTAATCATAAGTTAAAAATTGAGAAAACACAACCTACACATAATGCCAGTAACTTTTAAAGTCTTTACACCAAATGCTATTAATATGTTAGTTCTTCTAATTTCAGATACTTAGTGAAATCCTGTGTAACAAAATTTCTTTACAATGTTTTCAATTCAACCATTTCAATTAATTGAAATTCCCTTCAATTCAGTTTACAAGTTCTGAGTTTTTAGTATATGATATGCTATGCAAGGCTGAATTATAATAATAGTTATTGAAGTGTTTTTCCAAACTATAAATTGCTATGTATATGCTAGTTATAACTCTTAGATGCTTACTTTTCTACAAAGTGTTTCTGTGTTTTTAACCAATTTAAGCAACAGTTGACTATTTCTTCTTATTAATACACATTTTAATATTTATACATTAAGAACCAATTTTTTCAACATTTGTTCTGTTGTTATTGTAAACTTAGAACAATTTTCAACAGCATTACTAACTTTTTAAAAAAATTTCTTTGCAAGTCCCTCTCCATCTGTCTTCCCCTCACCCTGATACCAGTCTTTTGGTTTCACTTCCTTCTCACTTCCATACTCTACCACCACTATTTCATACATATACTTTGTCTTTACCTTAATCACTTGGGCCAGGTTTATAAATGAACTCTTTCCTTTTAAACATGCCAAATAGCCGAAACCGGTTTGGCTCAGTGGTAGAGCGTCCTGCGGACTGAAAGGTCCCAGGTTCGATTCCGGTCAGGGGCATGTACCTTGGTTGAGGGCACATCCCCGGTAGGGGGTGTGCAAGAGGCAGCTGGTCGATGTTTCTCTCGCATCGACGTTTCTAGCTCTCTATCTCTCCCCCTTCCTCTCTGTAAAAAAATCAATAAAATATATTTAGGAAAAAAAATTTAAACATGCCAAACAAAACTGTGATCTAGGTAACTTGTTATAAATTTAATTAGGTGTTCACATTAATCAGTTATGGCCAAATTTGCACCTGCAAAGTTTCACATATGTATTCTTTAATGTAATTTATTGTCTCTCTAGAGAACATATTAATCAATAGATTGTGGTTTTTCCTGTTCTTATACTTTCAATTTCTGTTATTGCTTTTCCATGTATAGTAGAAGGAAGTGTTTTTTGTTTGTGTAAGCCTATTCCAGAACATGATATATACTGAAAACATTGCAGTTCCTTGTTGCAATATTAAATGCAATGAAATATACTTAATTTGTTCAGTGATCAGTCATAATTAAATCTAATACTCTGAATCTCACTTTGTGAGTATGTGTGTGTGTGTGTGTGTGTGTGTGTGTGTGTGTGTGTGTGTGTAAGACGTGGGAGGAGAAACTGTTATTGCAATTTCAACATGTCAAAGGAAGTGTTTTTATCCTTATTACATATTTATCAAAATGATGTCATCTTGCCACGCAGCTTTCAGAATGTGCTCAAATATATATATTCGCATAGAAAACAGTGTGGTTAAATATACAATATGAATTTCTCACTTCTTTGTCTTAATTGTTTTACTTTTTAGACTATGAGCTTAACTTGCATTTTGAGGGGAAAAATTTTTTTTTAATCTATCAGTTTGCTCAGCTCTGTTCTCATTACACAGCCTCAGGTTAAACAAAGTTTTGTAGGAAAATACCTTTTCCTATAGCTACTGAATTTCAGTGTAGTAGTAGTTAGTAATGTTTCTTTTCCTCTGCTTTCACAGTAGTCTTTCTACATTATGTAGCAAAGTTAAGAAATCCTGATAAGACCAAGCCAGCTGAATTTCAGACAGGGACTGTGTTGAAAGAGAACATCATACATCTAGTGGAATAGCCCTGCTGGGTCAATTTTCACTAATTTAATCAGGATCCAGTCCCACTGTTACATGCCTTCTTGTGAAGAAAGAGTCTACTAAGGCTTATTATAATGTGGATTATAATTCATTCCTATTTATGTCCTTAAATAGGGTTGTACTGAGGCCATGCTCAGCAGTGGGCTATGCACTAAGTGCAGGAAATTATTAAAGTCACTTGTAAGGCTGGACTTTTCGCACAATATGAATAAGGAATTCTTTTGTGTCCCTACTTATTTAGTAGAAAGCATTTATGCCCATAGTATGTAAATGAATAGGTCTTTGTATGTTAGAAGGTGGATTAATTATAAGGGTGAAGGTGTGTATGTTGGTGTGTATGAAAGGCTTTTAATTCTATGAAGAGTTTAGGAAGAGAATCCTGAAATAGAATTTCAGTGCTTAGCATCATGCTAGGCACAAAGTGAGACATCAATAATTATTTACTGAATGAATGTATATATGAATAAAAACATCTGTAAAAGGTTTAGGAATGTCCAAACACAGACCTGCTGTTCTTTTTAAAAAGTATCTGTTTGAAACCATATTCAAATTAATCTTTGAGTTAATTTGTCCTTGGGGCAGTGCTGTATAATTTATGATCCTTGAATTCAGAGGTCACTCAATCAAAAGACAGTTGTATATAGGCTTAATCAGAATCCCGATTTATTGACCCTGCTATTGCTGTACCTCCTTTTCTTTTCTTGGTTTTATGGCCTAACGAGAGAAGTGTTTGACTAGAGTTGAAACCAAACACACATCTATTTCTCTTCTACATATCGGGGGTGGGGAGGACAATGTAAGCACTAGGATTATTGCTTAGCAACTTACAGTATCTAAGAATACTGGAGGATCACTAATAGGCTATAACCATGGTCAGCACATGCGGCTCTTTGGCCCCTTGAGTGTGGCTTTTCCACAAAATACCACGGCCTGGGCGAGTCTATTTTGAAGAAGTGGCGTTAGAAGAAGTTTAAATTTAAAAAATTTGGTTCTCAAAAAAAATTTCAATTGTTGTACTATTGATATTTGGCTCTGCTTACTAATTAGTTTGCCGACCACTGCACTATAATGAAGATTGAGAATTCCCTAGTTCATGTGGGAGTTTATAATGGGTTGTGGCAGTTGAGTAGATATTAATTTGCTATCCATCTGTAGCACTATTTTTAAAGCAGGAGAAGGAATATATGTCTTGCATTATGCTGGAAAGGTTAAGCAGCAGAGAGAATGCATTAGTACCTGCACACTTTCAAGAACTGCTCTTAAACAGTTAAAATAAAAATATTTAAAATAAAAATATAAACAATGTATATTAATGAGCAGTGTTATAAAACAGAATTTCCCCATCCACACACAAAAAAGTGGTCAATTTGTTTCTAAATCCAACCGAGATGTAAAAGGAGAGCATTATACTATCTTCCACACTTCCCCATATTAAAATAAGAGAATTGGCCAAAAAGGAAATATAAGCTTGGGAGGGAGGTTCATAAATACTATCTATTATTGGCTATAAGACATTGTTTAGAAGGGCTTCTTTAGAGATTACTTAGACTTTTCTGACAGTCTCTCAGATTTCCTTATTTTTGGTGATCTTGACAGTGGTCAGGTTTGGATCACCATCCATCCCTGGATCTAAATGGGTGAGGTGCCCTAGCTGGTTTGGCTCAGTGGATGGTGCATCGGCCTGTGGACTGAAGGGTCCGGGTTCAATTCTGGTTAGGGCACATGTCCAGGTTGTGGGCTCCATCCCCAGGAAAAGGTGTGAAGGAGACAGCCGATTGATGATTCTCTCTCATTACTGATGTTTCTATCTCTCTTTCCCTCTCCCTTCCTCTCTGAAATAAATAAATATTTAAATAAATAAATAAAATAAAAAATAAATGGGTGAGGTCAGTATTATCTAACCAAATTGATTAAGAAAGAAATTTGGGAAGACAAAAATATCTATCGATAGAGGTCAGCTTGGAGCATCATCTGGTACATCAAATAGGTTGTGGGTTCAATTCCAGTCGGAGCATACCTGGGTTGCAGGTTTTTTTGTTTTGTTTTTAATATATTTTATTGATTTTTTACAGAGAGGAAGGGAGAGAGATAGAGAGCTAGAAACGTCGATGAGAGAGAAACATTGACCAGCTGCCTCTTGCACGCCCCCTACTGGGGATGTGCCCTCAACCAACGTACATGCCCCTGACCGGAATCAAACCCGGGACCTTGCAGACCGACGCTCTACCACTGAGCCAAACCGGTTTCGGCTGGGTTGCAGGTTTGATCCCCAGTTGGGGTGGGTGTGGGAGGCAGCCAATCAATATTTCTCTCATTTCTCTCTCTCTCTCTCTCTCTCTCTCTCTCTCTCTCTCTCTCAAATCAATAAACGTATCCTGGGGTGAGGATTAATATATCTATCTCAGTGGAGAAGAAGTGGTCAACCATGCCACCTGCTGCAGAGAAATAGAACTTGTGTTAAGGAGTACTATCAAGTATTTTTATAGAATGTCCCTAATTGTGACTGATCTGAAGACTTAAAAAAATTAATGATAAGGTTGGGATTATGGGTTTGGGGGAGGAAGACTACAGAGGTAAAATGCTATCCTTATCACATCCTATCAAGTATACCATATATGCTATTAGTATGACTTTGTATTGTTGATGTTAATTTTTCTCATCTGACTGAGATAGCTTTGTCAGGTTTGTCCACTGTAAAGTTACTCATTTCCATACCCTACTTTCGGGAAGAAGTCACTTATACACAACCCACACTTAAAGATAAGAGCATTATACTCTACCTATTAGAGCATTATACTCTAAAGTATGAGGGCATACCATTTTAATACTTTTGCACAGGAAGGACATTTGTCTATTTCCCCATTTACTTATTTATTCAAGTATTTGTTTATAAAAGTATGGATTTATAAATATTTCTTTTATACTTGATTATAATCCAATATTACTTCATTTCTTTGCTCAAATTATTTAATCTTTGGCCATTAGAAGCTCTTTCTATGGCTGCTGTGTCCCTTTGACATATCACAATCATTGCAGAGTTGTTTGAACCTTCCTTATTTTCTGGCACTACAAGATGCTCCAGGTTCATATATATATTTCCTGTCCCAGTCCTTAAATTAGCCACTTCTCCAATGAGTCCTGATTTATAAAAATTTGAGAATGATATTAGCAACCAAGATCTGAGCACTAGGTACCCAAGTGTTCTTCTTTTATTTTCCATAGCACTTATAACATTTTAAAAAATCATCACCTGAGGATATATGTTTTTATTGATTTTAGAGAAAGAGGAAGGGAGAGAAAAGAGAGAGAAACATCAATGTAAGAGATAAACATTGATTCGTTGCCTCCTGTATGTGCCACGACTGGGGATCGAATCCACAACCTGGGTATGTGCTCTGATCAGGAATTGAACCCACATTCTTTATAGTGTATGAAACGAAAGTCCAACCATCTGAACCACTTGACCAGGTCTATAACATTCTTTTTATTTTCTTTAACTTCTCTGCTGTGAGGACATAAATATATATATAAAAGCCTAAATGACCGGCCAACTGTTCGACCATTCGACCATTTGCCGGTAGCTATGATGCACTCTGACCACCAGGAGGCAAACACTCAACACACAGGAATGAAAACATGGAAAAGAATGATGAATCTCAGAGGGAAGGGGGGGCATGAAGAGATTAACCAAAGATCTTATATGCATCCTAGAGGGCCAGTTCACAGATTTGTGTACTGGTGGGGTACCTCGGCCTGGCCGGTGCCCTCTCACAATCCAGCTTCCTTTGGAGGATGTTGTAGAGCTGGTTTCAGCCCAATCCCCACAGGCCAGGCCAAGGAACCTCACCAATGCACAAATCCGTGTACTGGGCCTCGAGTTGATTATAATTCTTTTAGAAACTCCTTACATTTATTTTATTAATGCTATTTCCTTGGGTATTATTAATTTTTGCATTGGTTGAATTTAGTCATGGAGATAGTTTTCTTTAGTCATGATTCTTACATGTGTGCTTCCATTTGCATTTGGGAATCCCTGTTTGCTCTTTTCTGGATGGAGTTTTTGTTTTCTGTCGCCTACTGCCAGTGAATGTGGCTGAGAGGTAAGATGTGCAGTCAGTGAAGTCTGTCAGCAATTTATTTTCTCTCTGTGTGGAGGCATTTTCCTGCCTCTCTATTCTAAACCACTAAATCCCAATGCAAGGATAAATTCATACCTACATTCTTTAAACTTGGGGTGTCTCAAAGGTGCTCTCAAATTTCACAGTCTATGTTTTTTTCTTTATATTTTTAGTCCTATATTTTATTTAATCATTCTGCTCCCACTCACCTTACATTTTTCAGAGACCCTCAAAATTTCTGCCTACTGAAGGACTCCTTCATGAATGCCAGCATTCTTATGTTTATATTAAAACTAGAGTCCTGGTGCATGAATTCGTGCATTGGTGGGGTCCCGCCATCCCATCCCACCATCGGGGGCAGGCAGGCTGGGGTGAGTGGCTGTGGGTGGGGCCAGCTAGGACAAGGGGCCACAGCGGCTTGGCCCCCAAATAGGAGGAGGGAGGGTGCTCAGGGGTGGGGCCTGCTGGGAGAAGGGCTGCAGGCATTCTGGTTATTCTGCTGTTCAGTAAATTTGCATATTAATCTTTTATTATATAGGATACACACACAAAACCTTTTCTATCATTTGTAGAGATTTTAGTAGTGAGTGAGTAGTAGGTGCTTGTTCTCAGTTCACTATCTTGGTCTAATATCTCCATACTACATTTTAAAAATGAAAACATGAAAGAGGCTGGAAGTATGAAAGTGGGAAGAAACATATTTAAATATATGTGTGTGGTAGACTCTTTTCACTGTCCACTCAGCAGACATTTCCCTACCTTTTTGCCTGGCAACTAAACCTCAATATTACAGAAGATGGAAATATCTAATATCAGATAACTTGACATAAACTCTGACATGAAGGAATAAATTATGATCAGTCAACACTAGTCATAGTAGTCCCTTTCCCCTTTACCAGCTATTGGTCTAGGGGCAGACATGTCACCTGACTAGGGTCAATGAAATGTAAAGGAAAGTGTTTGAGCAGGGATCTTTGATTTTTTCTTCTTGGATAATAAAACAGAATCTCAAGAGGAGAAATCCTCTTTGTTCTCAATCCTTTTCTCTTGTAAAGAAGAGCTGTCTGAAGCTGCAATAGCTATTTTATGATCCTGAGATATAAGCACAAAAAAATGAATAAAGAATAATGAAACCGGCGAGGTACTTAATGAAAAACACTGAGCTGCTGATTGATTTCTGATTAAGTCAACAATAAATGTCCTTATGGGTATAGTCCCTGTTGTCTGACTTTCTATTACTTTCAACTGTGTTTGAATACATTATTTAAAGAGATGTTTTCTCCTAGTAATATTCTAAACTAGCATATATTAAAATCTACTTCTAATATTCCTTATATTTCATTTCTCCCCCCACCCTCAGAATCAAACCTGGAGGAGAAGCCAAAGATCTCAGCTGGTTCAGAAAAGAAACCAAACATCGAAATCTCAAAGAATGTTGTAGTCAGAGAACCTGCAAGTGTGGTTTTCCATTTAGATCAAACTATAGTGGATTCAAAGCTAGAGCAACCATGGAAGAAAAATCTTTTTGAAAGAGTGGAGGCAAGAGCTCAAGCTATGCAGCAGAGAATAATAGATAAGGATAAACTGAAAAAAGAACTAGACAAAAAGGCTGAGAAAAAAATCCCTAAGGATACTTTGGCCAAAGAGTGGTTTAATATTGACCACATGACTCTGAATACTCGTGCATATTTGCTTGACAAACTTCTACCCACCTTAGTTGTTGGAATGGAAAACATGTTAATGCAAGTGGAAAAAAAGAAGCTTTTGTCAGAAGCTGATATTCCAACTAAGTTTGATCCAATTATTTATTTGGGGGAATATTTAATGAGAAATAATCCTCTTTATATCAAAGATACAGGAATGACTGGTTATCAGAGGGAGATGAAAAATGTCACAGAAAATCTGAAAATACATATTACCAACACTGTCTGCAACAGGTACAATTTGTTATATTTTCAGTTGATGATATAGCTCCTTATATGGAAAAGTACATAGAACAATAAAATACTCATATAAACTTAAAAGGACTTCAAATAAGGCAGTTCTCTATGGAGTATGCCTGAGCCTTTTCCCACCTTTATTTCCCCAGATCTCTCGCTGTAATTGGTTTCTTGAGCCCATTTCTTCTACAGCTCACTTCTATTTTTAAAAGTATTTATTGAGCTATTGCTATATGCCTCACTATTTATGAGGCACTAATGAAGACTTAAGAAGTGTATTTATTCAGTTTCTTGTATTCACAGATTTAGTTATCTCACTAGGATCTCAAATGTCCTCTTTGCTGTGGAAAGTAAACCGCGAGTTGAGAGTAGGAACTTTTTCAAATTTTAACTTTTCAAATAAACAACATATTCACCTGATATAATAGCCAAAATATATAGATATAGAATGAAAAGTTTCCCATTCTTATCCTCCATGTACCCAGTACTCTGCCTTAAATAACTTCTTTTTAGTTTTCAATGGGTCCTTCCAAAATTTCTTTATACATACATAAGTAAATGTAAATATGATTCTTGATTTTCTTTCTTTTATATGAAAACATGTGAACAAGTTACATTTTCCTCTGTTTTTCACCTGCCATTTATCTTTCATCATAAAGATCAGTTGTTTATTTCCACATGGTTGAATTTACTCACTTTTATTTTATAGCTTCCATATTTTGAGTCATTGTTGTATTTTAGATATTAAAATAATAATCCTATCTTTTCTTGTGAAATTATATTTTAATTTTAAATATTGACCCATTTGGAACTTATCTTAGGGTAAGATGTAAGATATGGATCCAACTTCATCATTTTCCAAATGACTATGTAGTGATCCCAATAGTAATTGTTGAATAGTCTATCCTTGTCCCACTGTTTGCAACGAACCTTTACTACTAAATTTCTATATATTTTGTAGTGTATTTTTGGACTTCTCTGTCCTATTATTGGTCTATCTCACTTTTTATGCATCAGCACTCTGCTTTATTGAGACTTTTGAGTATATTCCAATTAATCTGACTGTGCTGGTCCCCATTATTTGTTATTTTTTTCTGATCACTCCTGTCTGTTCTTGTGTGTGTTTACTTTTTAATATGAACTTTAGAATTGATTCATCTACATAAAAGGTAGGGGAGGGAGAACAGCAAAAAAAAAAAAAAAAAACCCACAAAAAAAAAACTTCATAGGAATTTTTATTGAAATCTGATTAAATTTATTCATTAGCTTGGAAAAAATTTACACCTCTGATAATGAAAGTATTTCTATTTGAGAACATATCTTTCCATTTGCTCATTATATTTTGTATCCATCAGTGTGGTCTTACATTTTTTATATAGGTTTGCATCTTTTATTAGTTTTAATACTAGTTATTTTATCATTATTTTGTTGCCATTATGAGTCTTTTTCTGTTATACTTCCTATCTAGATATACTTTAAATACACAAAAACTATTAATTTCTGTATATTTTTATACTTTTACTACCTCATTAAGTTCTCTTATTGTTTAGAGTAATTCTTAATTGATTCCTTGGATATTCTAAGGAGGCAACCATACTGTCTGCAAGCAATAGGAGTTTTCTTCTTCCTTTTTAGTTTTTGTATTTTTAGCATATTTCTCTTGCCTAATTGCATTGGCTATTACCTCCAATATGAGAGTGGTGATATGGGCATACTTGTTTTGCTTATGACTTTAAGTAGAAATGACTCTTATGTTAATTACCGTTTCACCAAATTATATATATATATATATATATATATATATATATATATATATATATATATAACATAGCCATGCTTATTCAAAAATTGAGTTGATACTCAATTCTGCTTTTATTCTACCATAACTTGACTCCATTTGATCTAAAAAAGGTATATTTAATCATATTAGAAAAAATCACCTAATTTCTATCTTATAGAGTGATTTTGAAAAATCAAGAATGACTGTTGATTTTGTCAAATGCCTTTTCAACACCTATGTAGATGATTATTTGATTTTCAGCCTGGATTCATTAATAATGAACTTTATTAGATTTACTAATTTTGAGCTATCTTGTAATTCCTAAAACAAATCCTACTTGGTGGCTATATATTTGGTTACATTGAAACATACTTTCTACTGTTAAGTTAGAATAAATGTTTAATTCTTTCCTTTTAATTACCGATTTTCAGAATATAGTTTGTCTTTCTTCCTTCCTTCCTTCCTTCCTTCCTTCCTTCCTTCCTTCCTTCCTTCCTTCCTTCCTTCTTTCTTTCTTTCTTTCTTTTTTCCTTCCTTCCTTCCTTCCTTCCTTCCTTCCTCCTTCCTTCCTTCCTTCCTTCCTTCCTTCCTTCCTTCCTTCCTTCCTTCCTTCCTTCCTTCCTTCCTCCCTCCCTCCCCCCTCCCTCCCTTCCTCCCTCCCTCCCCCCCCCCCTCTCTCTCTCTCTCTCTTTCTCTTTCTTTTTTTCTTTCTTTCATTTTTTTCTTTTTGATGCTCAACTTGACCCAATTTTGGTGCCTGAGTTCTTCTGACATACTTAGTTTTTGAAAGCTTCATGCATTTTTAAGGATTCTTAGTTCATTTTGGTGAAGATCATTCGCTGAAGAGCTAGAAATGCTCATAAGTATTGTATTGTCATTGTTTCTAGGCTCTTTCATGACTAAAATATAATTTTAAAATATTAATAATTTCATGTCAAATATGTTTCAGGGTTTTTACCTAATGCCTTGATTTTATATTTGTATCTCTTTTTTTTTTTTTTTTTTTTCCTCACACTGAAAATCTAGGTTTCTAACAAGATTGACAGAACTACTTGTTTGCTTTATCTTATAATTTACATAAAACTAGAGGCCTGTTGCAGGAAGATTCCTACAAGAATAGGGCTTCCTGTGGCAGTTTCCCCCCCGCCCCGCCTGCTTTCTTCCCTTCTCTGCCGCCCCCGTTTGCTTGCTTCTCTGCAACTTTGCTCCCTTCTGCAGAGCTTGGCTTCCTTCTACGCTGTCTTCAGTCTCCGCTCTGCACCTGGGTATGCAAATTAGCCACCACATTGGTTGGGTTAATTTGCATACTTGCTCCTGATTGGCTGGTGCATGTGGCTTGTGGGTCAATTTGCATGTCCCTCTTTTATTAGATATGATAGCTTCAAAATAATAATACCAACAAGCCTACTAATAATAGAACTACTAAATTAGTTTTTATATTTATTTTTCAGCCCTTTGGACCAGAGAATATATCCTATTAAGTATGTGTACATAAAAAAAACATTAAAAGACCAGAAGAAACTAGGGATTTAATTCCTTTATAACCAGAGAAAAAGCTTTTGAATCATGAAAATATTGATAAATTTAATTACATAAAAATTAAAAGCTTTTTGATGGAAAACTGAGTCAATTACTCAGTTCTGCTTTTATTCTAAAAAAAAAATAGCCATACAATATGTAAATGAATAAGCATGGCTATGTTGTAATAAAACTTTATTTATGGCCCAGGCTGGTATGGCTCAGTGGTAAAGCATCAGCTGCCCGGTTAAGGTTATGGGTTTGATTCCTAGTCAAGGACATGTGCCTTAGGTGCAGATCTCACCTCTCTGTCTGTCTGTCTCTCTCTTTCTCCTCTATCTCCCATTCACTCTCTCAAAAAAATCAATGAAAAAAATATCCTTGGGTGAGGATTAACAAAAAAAACAAAGTCTATTTATGGATACTAAAATTTTAATGTCTTGAATTTCTATATGCCACAATATATTATTTTTGTTATTTTAAAAAATACTTTAAAATATGATAAACTTGGCTTTTGACTTGTACAAAACAAGACAGCAGGCCAGATTTGTCCCCCAAATTGTAGTTTGCTGACCCTTGGTCTAGTTAATATCTTTTAAGTTTAAAAAAATCTAAAAAAACAATTAAGATACTTGTAATCTCTTCCTTAATCTCCCCATTTACCTTTGAATGTATTTTGGCATGGAAACTTATACTTAAATTTATAAAGAAACCTAAAATTCTTTGTGACTTGTTTTTGTGTCCTTCCTATGGTAAGCAACAAATTAGAAACTTCAAAATGATAGTTTTTTTTGGAATTAGGTACATCTATTCCTCTGGAATAAAGTAAGAGATATTTACAGAATTCTTCTTTTACTTTATGTATAGACATGAAATTTTTATTTCAGTTCAAACAGTCTTTCTTAGAGCATGGTTGCCTATCCAAGACATCAGGATTATCTGGGTGCTTGGTTAAAAGTAAAGCTTTCTATCTTCTTCCTTAAATCTTCTGAATCAGAAATCCTAGGAATGCATTTAAAACAAGTTCTACTAGAGATTATATATGAACACTACATTTTTAAGACCAATTATTTAGTGAAACCAAATTAAGGAACTTTTAGTACTAGTGGAAAGTTCCAACAACAGTAGGAAGCAGTATCATTAAATTTAATAAACAGTTTAAAGAACATTTGTGTTCACCATCTGTTCTTGCAGAACAATAGATTTGATTTGTATTTAGCTTTGTTTCCATTAAAAAAAAACCACCACAAAACTTTAAATTTAGGAATTGGTGTCAAAGCTGTAAATCAATATATTAACAACTCCTTTGTCCTGTTAGGGCTGTGTAAATCTCAGTCAGTACATAAAACTAGGCATTTTTTAACATTTATAGTAAGGGTAGTAATAGGCAGAGTAGAACTTTGGTCTAGGCTTGATTGCCAATCAATAGCATGACACAAGAAGATTAGTTCATTTCATTGATGTTTCTTGAACAAGGAGTTTGATATTCAGGGTCATTTGAGGTTTGATAAGAGCCCTACGTAGTTTCTACTGGGCTCTTCATGAAAGAGTTAAAATAATCAAAGGTTCTTTTTTTTCTTTTTTTCTTTTTCTTTTTTCTTTTTTGCCTGGATTGTCAGGATCAGGGCTTCATCCCTCTCTGGTAAAAATTCAAGATCTATAGGTCAAAAAGTGACAGTGTCAGGCATTTGCAAACTATTCAGAAATCCTAGGGATGCCTTAAAACAGCACAATGTCTACTGACTTGAAGCTTGGATACCCAGCATCTTTGCAAAAACTGTTCTGCTTTTAAATTCTCTGAACTATATCACTGTTGTGTTGTTCTCAACCCGTTAGAGAGCTTTGGAGAAGTCCATTTTGGAAATGGGAGTTTTCTTACTTATTTTCAAGAATAAAGACAAAATTTTTATTTGGTTTTTCAAGACTTTATCTTCTGGTGATTATGTTAAAATGTTCATTTGCCTCAGTCTGAGTTTTGTTTCCCAGAACAAAAAGGGATTCATCTCTATTTGGTGTCAAAGGAAAATAGATAGAAAAGATACTCTTTACTGATTTGGAATAATATTTAAAGTGGCAGCCAATTTCTGAGAAATAAAATATTATTGCTGTTTGTAAGTTTTATGTATACAATACTTTTTTTGCTTTTCATCAGGCTTCCTGGAAGAGAGGTATAGAATTAAAGTGGATTTTAATCCTTACATGTAATTTTGTAAAACCAATAAGGAGGTTAGGTTTGTCTCATTTTGCTTTTCTACTTATTTTTTTTTTCATCTTTCCCCTCGGATTGTTGGTTCCTCCAGTGTTTGAGAATACATATTCTGAAAGTTACTACTGCCTTGTGAATTGATAATGAAAAAATTTTTCTCTTAAAATAGGATTACAAATTTTCAATAGCCTGACTATGATGATGGTTAGGTATATTTACATGTGTTGAAATTTGTACAACTATGCACCAAAAAGGTCAACCTTACAGTATGATGTATTCAAAAGAAAAGAAAAAATTAAACAGTAAAAATAAGGATTATAGAGAACAATTATTAATGTTAGAATGTCACCCTGCTTCAGAGAAATGGGACCTATTACACTATCAATGTTCTCTCTTTCCTCCACCAAATCAGGATATACAGTCCTGATCCTAGAATGAGAATTTAAATGAACCAGGAAGTAGGTCTAAAGGACCCAGGGCAAAAACTTGGATCTTTTTGTGTGATAGTTAATAGCGATGTATATCCAGTTCTGGCATGGTAATGACCTCTGGTCCCTATATCCTTTGCTTATTTCATAATCACTATGTATCTATGATAAACCTTCAGATACCTTTTGGACATTTTCCCTGTAGTCCTCTTCATAAGCCTTTTAACTAATAATGGAACACTTAATCCAGGAAGAGAAAGAATCACAAAGAAACACTCCACAGAAATTACTTTCTCTACTATAGCTACATAAAGGAGATAAATAAGCCAGAATAAGTGCTCAAGCATTAAGGAAACACAAACCAAGTGAAAACTAAAAGGGAAAGAGACACATGCCTTTATTTTGCTTATAATAACTCCCTCATATGCAGTGTTTCAAGAAGCTTACGCAGATTATGTGACAAACATGTTGTATATGTTTCTGTTAGAATGTGGTGTCTGCAAAGGGTTTGAAGGTTTACTTCAAAGGACTTACTTTTTTGTGTTTAAAAACACACATACAGACACCAAAATGTCTAACTCATCTTTACAAGATGCCAGCACTAGGACTTGGCAAGACCGAGGGAATGTTTTATTCTGGATATGGGGCTTCCTTAGTTGCCAGGAGACAGTGACTTCCTAGGCAGATGTCTGTCTGCTCATACACCACACCAGCTGCCACCTCTTTACGAGCCAAACCCTTGTGCTTACATTATGCTAGGAAATCCCATAGATGCTTCTCCTGAAGTGATATTATTAATATTAGTCATCTTGTCAATCTGTTTTGAATATCATATTTTTGTCATTTCAGTAAAATAGATTATGCTAAAAGTGAGTAAATAAGGAAATGCTTTTTTAAAATATAGTATTTGAATAACTATTATACCCAAATGTATGTGATAGGACTTTTTCCAAACAGTTTCTACTTTTGTTCAACCTTAAACATAATAATAATAATAATAATAATAATAATAATAATAATAATAATTGAGTAGTTCATATTAATTTAGAAACTACACTCTGTTGTATATGTATATATCCAATATTAGTACCTAGTACTTATAGACTAAGAAATCCTTGTCTCCCTGGAGACACAATACTACACACACACACACACACACACACACACACACACACCCCTGCAACTTGACGTTGTATGAATCTATAGTTCTTCTTCAGTGGCATAAAAAATTACTAATGTTAAAAAGACTAAGGTAGAGTTGACTGCAAACCTTACATGCAACTGCCTTGGTTTTTAATGGCTGAAGATCTTACATGCAACTGCCTTGGGTCATATATATCTTCTGCCTTGCTCAGTCCTATACCATCAAAACAGATGCTTCTCAGTCCCCTAGGGGGGAATATTCTTTCTCCTTCCAATATTGAATTGAAACGCAACCACCTCATTAGGAAATAGGAAATCATCACCACCAAGGCTAGCTTCAAAGTTTGGAGCCACTAGATCAAAGGTACCTAGCATATTATGCTTCTTTCCACCTCAGGGTCTTAACATATATCATTTCCTCTGCCTATTATCATTCTTCTTCCTCTTTAGCTCTCTTACCAATCCTTTAGAGTTCAGCTTAGTTCTAATACTTTGTCATTATAAATTAATTTACCTATCCTAATCTTGCTCTCATTATGTAAGTTTTGTGTGTTATTTTTCTTGTGCTTGTTTTGTTTTTTTACATACATAAGATTATTATGAGATGTGTCTTAATTTTGGGTAATTGACAGAAATCCAATTTTGTTAATCTCCTTTTGTGTTGCAGTGATCAATACATATAAAGATCTGGAGACACCCAGTACTTATTACATAATATTGTTTACTTAACTGTTCTGTATTGGACTCTAAGCTTTATAATAGCAAAATCAGAGTAGGAGCTCAATAAATGTTTGTGTATTGAGTGAATAAATGACTGACTTAGTGAGTGAATGAGAAAAGGCTAGAAGAAAGACACAAAATAGAGAGCCATGCAGGAAAGAAGACAGGCATTTAGGAGAATGTTTTATAGAGAGGGGAAAGAGAGAGAAGTAGAAAGAGAGAAGGAGATAAAGTAGCGGAGGGAGAAAGAGAAGTGGAAGAGCCAGAGAGCCAGCAAAGGAAGGGACTGGGGGCTCTGAGATAAGTGGTGGAGGTTTGGCTGGTTAACAGTTGTATCACAGGAAATTAGCACTTCCTTTGAAATACTAATGAATCTTCCAGCACTTTTAAAGCGCTACAGAATCTTCTACACTATTGAACCACATCACATTGAGATTTTGGGTTTCAAACTTCCAAGTTTATTTTTGAAGGTTTATTTTCCTAGAGAATTTTGAAGATCTTATCTGACCACAAAGTAATTACTTAGATTTTAGGATTGTTTTTTGTTTTTGTTTTTTAGTGTTGGGAGTATCCAAATACCAGTTCTCTCTGAAAAGCCTTTTGCCTTTTAAAGTCTGTCAGATTACTTTAGTCTTTCATAAAAAATGAGGACCTGCCTCAAACATTATTGCAAAATTGTATTTGAAACCAGTACTTATTTTTGTTATTTTGAACTATTTTAGTATTTCAATCAAAACCATTTTGGGGGTTTTGAAGTCCTAGTCAGGATGATGAACATAGAAACAATTAAAATCACAATTCTTCCCCCATTTTCTACCTGGGTAATACATCTCTGTCTGACTACAAGGATAACTACTGTGCTTAGGGGCTGTCAAAGTATTTAACTCTGGCCAGATAAAGGAATCTGGCAACATATATTCCTAAACAGAAATCAAAAGTTTGGTCCAAGGTATCAGAACTACTTGAGATGCTTTTATAAATGCATCTTTCAGGCTCCCTTCCTAGATCTTGAATCAGACTCATTCCACATGATTTCTGCATCATGTGGAGAGACACCCCACCACCTTAAGGCCTTAGGGTACATTCAACCGTATTTTTAGAGTGTATGTGGCAGCTTCTAGGTCTATTCTTAGAACTTTTTAAGTATAGTATTTAGTTGGATAAAATAAGGCCTACCTCCATAAAAAGTCAAATAACAGTAGAAGACAGCCTATGATTAATGTGCTGCAGGCTTGAATCGAGGATAATTTCATGAAGAAAAGACAGGTTCAACGTTTCTATGAGGCTCTGAACTCTTGTGGTTCTGCCATTTAAACAATCTGAATCAAATCCAATGGTCTTAATACGTCTTCTATTTCTACATCCTTCAGAGTATCTAGGATGAAAGAGAAGATTAAAGAGAAACAAGAACAAAGAGAATACATAAACCAAGTCAAAGTCCAGGTGGCCAATCTACGTCAACAGGCTCTGCAGGAGCAGTTCGATGAATGGATTCTAGACCCTAAGGGGAAAATTCCTCTGAAAGTGGTAAGAAAGGGGGTGTCTTAGAAGGGTAAGTGAGTTGGAAAATATGAAGGTGATTGCTAGAATACTGAGTGGAGTACTAAAATTCTCCCTCTAACTTTTCAATCCTGCTGATGTAAGTCAATTCTTAACACTAGTCTATGAGAATAGATTTCTTTAATTTTCTCTTGAGTGTTTTTAAACACTTTAGCTAGAGTTCTAAAATTACATTGACTCTGGCCGAGGTTCTTAAAATCTTCATTAAAGTCAGGCATAGCTTCCTTTTTTTTTTTAATTATATATGTGACTAATTACTTCTGTGGGCTAAGAGACTATTAGCTCTAGATGGCATCTGTACTTAAAGAGTTAAATATTTTCTCTTAGGTATGTATATACAGATGTGAGAATACTTACTGGTTAGATAAAATGACAAGCATATTTTTTTTTGTTTAAAGTGAATTTTTTATTGGATTTATTGGGGTGATATTGGTTAATAAATTTATATAAATTTCAGGTGTACATTCTATAATACATGTATTATATTGTATTGTGTGTTCACCACCCAAAGTCTCCTTCCATCACCATTTATCTCCCTCAAGTAATCACCATAGTGTTGTCTGTGTCTATGAGGTGGTTTTTTAAATTTATTTTTTAAATTTTCTTTATTGTTTTCAGAGAGGAAGGGAGAGGGAGAGAGACAGAAACATCAAGGATGAGAGAGAATCATTGATCTGCTGTCCCCTGCTCAGCCCCACTGGGGGTGGAGCCTGAAACCTGGGCATGTGTCCTACCTGGAATTGAATCTTGACCTCCTTTCTTCACAGGTCAACGCTCAATCACTGAACCACACTGGCTTGGCTGGCTGAGCAAGTTTTTTTTGTTTTGTTTTTTTAAATTATTATTAATCCCTTCACCTTTTTCATCCAGCCCCTCTACCACTACCCCCCAAAGTGAATTATTAAAAATAGACCAAGGAAGATAAGCCCCAGACTAGGAGAAAATATTTGCAAAAGGTATATCCGATAAAAGAATATTATCTAAAATATACAAAGAACTCTTAAAACTCAACAATAAGAAAACAATATATTAAAAAATGGGTAAAGACCTAAATGGACAATTCTCCAGAGATATCCAGATGGCAGATAAGCATATTAAAAAATGCTCCACAGCTCTAGCCAGGTTGGTTCAGTGAATAGAGTGTTAGCCCATGGACTGAAAGGCCCCAATATCAATTCTGGTCAAGGACACGCACCACTGGGGATTTAGCCTGATCCCGGGCCCTGGACAGGACTAGTGTGTGAGGCAACCAATTGATGTGTCTCTCTCATTGTCTCCCACCCTCCCTTCCACTCAATGGAAAAATATCCTCGGGTGAGGATTAAAAACAACAAAAAAGATGCTCCACATATGTTATCAGGGAAATGCAAATTAAAACAACAACAAAGCCCAGCTGGCAAGGCTCAGTGGTTGAGTGTTGACTTATGAACGAGGAGGTCACAGTTCAATTGCCAGTCAGGCCATATGCCCGGGTTGCAGGCTCTATCCCCAGTGGAAGGCATTCAGGAAACAGCCAATCAATGATTCTCATCATTGATGTTTCAATCTCTCCTTTTCACATCCTCTCGGAAGTCAATAAAAATATATTTAAAACAAACAAACAACCAATGAGATACCATTACTCACCTATCAGAATGCCCAAGTTCAAGAATAACCAAGAACACTAAATGCTGACAAAGATGTGCATCTATAGGAACTTTCATTCGTTGTTGTGGAAATACAAAATGCTATAGCCACTTTGGAAGACAGTTTGGCAGTTCCTTAGAAAACTGAACATAATCTTACCATATGATCAAGCCATCATATTCCTTGGTACATACCCAAAGGATTTAAAAACTTACGTCCATGCAAAAATATGCACATAGATGATTAAGGCATTTTATTTATAACTAGATGCCCCGTGCATGGATGCATCGGTGGGGTTCCCCGGACTGACCTGTGGGGATCTGGCCAAAACTGGCTCTCTGACATCCCCCAAGGGGTCCCGGATTGTGAGAGGGCACAGGCCAGGCTGAGGGACTCCATTGGTGCACGATTGGGGCTGGGGAGCAACTGCGGGAAGGCCCACTCCAGGGCATGTCTGGTCCATCTCACCCATTCCCGATCAGCTGGACCCCAGCAGCAAGCTAACCTACCAGTTGGAGCACCTGCCCCCTGGTGGTCAGTGTGCATCATAGTGACTGGTCGAATGGTTGAACAGACAGATGGACACTTAGCATATTAGGCTTTTATTATATAGGATTGCCAAAATTTTGGAGCAACCAAGATGTCCTTTGGTGAGTGAATAAATAAACTGTGGTATATCCATAAAATGGAATGTTATTCAGTGCTAGAAAGAAATGAACTATTACACCATGATAAGACATGGAGTAACCTTAAATGCATATTACTAGCTGAAAGGAGCCAATCTGAAAAGGCTACCATACTGTATGATTCTAATTCTATGGCAGTCTGGAAAAGTTAAAAAGTAAAAATATCAGTGGTTTCCAGGAGTGAGAGGGGAAGGAGGGATAAATGGGCAAAGCACAGAGGGTTTTTAGGCAGTAAAACAATTCGGTATGATGCAGAAACCGGTTTGGCTCAGTGGATAGAGCATCAGTCTGTGGACTGAAGGGTCCCAGGTTCGATTCTGGTCAAGGGCATGTACCTTGGTTGCGGACACATCCCCAGTAGGGGGTGTGCAAGAGGCAACTGATCGGTGATTCTCTCTCATCGATGTTTCTAACTCTATCCCTCTCTTTTCCTCTCTGTAAAAAATCAATAAAAATATATTTAAAAAAACAACAATTCTGTATAATGCCATAATAGTGGATACATGTCATTATACAATATATTTGTCAAGACCCATAGAATGTATAACAGCGAGAATGATCCCAAATGTAAACTAAGAATTTAGGGTTATGATGTTTCAATGAAGGCTTATTGATTGTAACAAATGGAACACTGTGGTGGTGATGGTGAATGGGGGAAGCTGTATACTATGTGGTAGTAGGCAGAGAGTATTTGGTAACTGAGAAGTAATATATGATCTTTTTTATTTACAGATTCAGAATGTTCTTTATGATTTTTTTCAAAATCCAAATTTCAAGCTTGGTAAGCATGCCTATTATTATATTATTTATGTGTTGTTGTTTTTCTCTTTTGGGGGAAGGGAAGGGATGCTGAATTAAGATGAAGAGTCAATATTGAGATGGCTATTATTCAAAGCTCTTACAGATGTACTTGAGCTTTTTTGCTCTTTCCATTTTTTTTTTTTTTTAAATATATTTTATTGATTTTGTACAGAGAGGAAGGGAGAGAGATAGAGAGTCAGAAACATCGATGAGAGAGAGTCATCAATCAGCTGCCTCTTGCACACCCCCTACTGGGGATATGCCCGCAGCCAAGGTACATGCCCTTGACCGGAATCGAACCTGGGACCTTTCAGTCCCCAAGCCGACGCTCTATCCATTGAGCCAAACCAGTCCTGGCCCATTTTTTTTTTTAATCCTCACCTGAGGATATTTTTCCATTGATTTTTAGAGAGAGTGAAATAGAAAGGGAGAGATTGAGAGAAATATCGATGTGAGAGAAACACATCGATTGGTTGCCTCCTGCACAAGCCCCAGGCCCCGGAGGAGCCTGCAATCGAGGTATGTGGCCTTGGCTGGAATCAAACCTGGGACCTTTCAGTCACAGGCTGGCGCTCTATCCACTGAGCCAAACCAGCTAGGGCTTCTTTGCTCTTTGCAGATGGAGAATGTAAAAAAGCGGAGAAGCAGTCAGTGATTTTTAATCCTTTTAGCACTGGATTTAGCACCATTTTATAAAAAATATTCTGTAATGCCCTTTATTGTTTTGTCAAATTCCTAGAAAACATTACTTAGATACACAGAATTTTAAATGAAAGATATAATGTCATAAATGTGATACAAAGGGAAAAAAAAGATAAAAATTATATGCACTCTATTTCAATACATAAATGCTTGGTTATAACTTTATTATAAGATATAATAGAATAATAACATTTGTCTTTTTAATTAATGTTTAAATGTAAGAAAAGTAGCTTGGCCAGCATTGCTCATGGGTTGAACCAGGAGGTCATGGGTTGATTCTTAGTCAGGCATATGCCAGGTTTGGGGGCTCAACTGGGCATGCAGAAGACAGCCAGTCAATGATTCTCTCTCATAATTGATGTTTCTATCTCTCTCTCCCTTTCCCTTCCTCTCTGAAATAAATAAAAATATATATTAAAATAAATATTTTTAAAATTTTAATCTTTATTGTTTAGATTATTACAATAGTTTCTCCTCTCCCCCCCACCCCCTTAGCTCCCCTCCACTCGGTTCCCACCCCACCCTCTACCCTTACCACCCTCCCCCACTGTCCTCATTCATAGGTGTACAATTTTTGTCCAGTCTCTCCCTGCACCCTCATCCCCTTTCCCCCTGAGAATTATCAGTCCACTCCCTTTCTATGCCCTTGATTCTATTATATTCACCAGTTTATTCTGTTCCTCAAATTTTTAATTCATTTGATTTTTAGGTTCACTTGTTGATAGATATGTATTTGTTGTTTATAATTTTTATCTTTACTTTTTTCTTCTTCGTCCTCTTAGAGAATACCTTTCAGCATTTCAAATAATACTGGTTTGGTAATGATGAACTCCTTTAGCTTTTTATTATCTGTGAAACTCTTTATCTGACATTCCAATCTGAATGATAACTTTGTTGGTTAGAGTAATCTTGGTTGTAGGTTCTTGCTATTTATCACTTTGAATATTTCTTGCCACTTCCATCTGGCCTGCATAGTTTCTGTTGAGAAATCAGCTGACAATCATATGGGTGCTCCCTTGTAGGTAATTAACTTTTTCTCTTTCTGCTTTTAATATTCTCTCTTTGTCTTTTGCTCTTGGCATTTTAATTATGATGTGTATTGGTGTGGTCCTCTTTGTATTCCTTTTTAAAAATATATTTTATTGATTTTTTATAGAGAGGAAGGAGAGGGATAGAGAGTTAGAAACATCGATGAGAGAGAAACATCATCAGCTGCCTCCTGCACACTCCCTACTAGGGATGTGCCTGCAACCAATGTACATGCCCTTGACTGGAATTGAACCTGAGACCCTTCAGTTCCCAGGCCGATGCTATATCCACTGAGCCAAATCAGTTAGGGCTACATTCCTTTTGTTTGGGGTTCTGTGTACTTCCTATACTTGTAAGTCTATTTTTTTCACCTGGTGGGGTAAGTTTTCAGTCATTATTTCTTCAAATAGCTTTTCAATATCTTGCTCTCTCTCTTCTGGCATCCCCATAATTCTGATGTTGGTACACTTGAAATTGTCCCAGAGGCTTCAACCTTTTGGATTCTTTTTGCTTTTCCAGTTGAGTGTTTTTTGCTTCTTTGTATTTCAAATCTTTGACTTGATTCTTGCATTCCTCTAGTCTGCGGTTGGGTCTCTGTATATTTTTCATTTCAGTTAGTATATGTTTAATTTCTAGTTGGTCCTTTACATATCCTCAAGGGTCTGGCTAAATTTATCAGCATTTTCTAGGAAATTCTTGAAAAACCTTTAACTATGGTTTTGAATTCTATATCCAGTCATTTTTTCACCTCCATTTCTTTTTTTTTTGTGATCTGTTACCTTGTCTCCACATTTTTGCTACTTCTCTGAGTTGGTAGGGTAGCTTTGAGTGCTAGGTTTCCTATATGGCCAGTGGGTTGGCCTCCTAGTCACCTGAGGTGGACATTATTGGTGTACCCCTTTGTGGTCTTGTGTGTACAGCCTTGTTGTAGTTAAGTCTTGATTGTTGTTGGTAATCACTGGAAGGAATTGACCTCCAGGCCAATTGGCTGTGAGTATCAGCTGTGTCTATGCCAATTGGTTGTGAGACAGCCTTATAGGAGCAGACTTGCAAAATTGCTAAAGCCTCTGCTCAGCTTGGATGGGGTGGAGTCTTAGGGTTGAGCAGACAGCCTTGGCTTCTCGTCAGCCCTGCCCTTGGGTGTGCGCCTCCAGACCTCTGCCTTCCGCGACTCCACTGAGTTTCCACCTAACAATCCAGATTCCCCCAGGCTTGCCCAGAACTGGGGTTCAGTGCAATTAGGAGCTTCTGACTCCCTTCTGCTAGGGAGAGCTAGTGGCAACCTCAGCAGTCAGTCTTTTCTGTGCAGGTGCGCACCTCCAAACCCCTGCTCAGCACGGTTTCCCTCAAGTCTCCAAGTCTCCAAGTCTCCGTGTGCCTTTCTTCTACCTGACAGTCCAGACTCCCCCCATATGAGCCTAGGTCTATGGGGTTTCTCCTGGAACTGGGGTTCAGTGCAGTCGGAACTAGGGTTAGAGCAGTTGGGGGCTTCCTTCCTGCTCCTGCCAGAGGACACCAGCCAGGCATTCAGCTGTCCTTCCTTTCTGTGCGTATCTCCATATCTCGGTCCTTTGCAGCTCCTCTGATTTTCCGTGAGCTTTTATCTTTCCTTCTAGTTGTAGAATTTCCACTCAGCCAGCTTTCCTGTGGTTCTGGATGATATCTGTTCTGTCTTTTAGTTGTAGTTTTGAAATTGTGCAAGGCAGCAGTTTAGGTGTTTACCTATGCTGCCATCTTGGTTTCTCCTAAATAAAAATTTTTAAAAATATATTTTATTGATATTTTACAGAGAGGAAGGGAGAAAGATAGAGAGCTAGAAACATCGATGAGAGAGAAACATCGAATAGCTGCCTCTTGCACACCCCCTACCAGGGATGTGCCCGCAACCAAGGTACATGCCCTTGACCGGAATCGAACCTGGGACCCCTCAGTCCGCAGACCGACGCTCTACCACTGAGCCAAAAACGGTTTCGGCTCTCCTAAATAAATTTAAGAAAAGTAAAAATTATATCTAATCAACCATTTCTTTGTATTTGAAATTTTGAAATAAGAGCAAAATGAATGTACTTGTATATATTCCATGGGTAGTAGAGTGGGAGAGCTATAAAATGCAGACTGACAGGTGTGTTATATTGGAATTCAGATACAATGTATATTACCTCCCATTACATAATTTTCTGAATCGTGAATAGCTTTTGGCAAAATTCCAGAATGAAGCAGAGTATAATTCTCTCTCAAATTTTCACAGTAGTTACATTCTTTAAAAATTCAACAGCAAATACACATTCTATGTTTATATGTAGACTTCAAATTATTCTAAGCAGAATCTTCACCTACTAGCATTTCTAGCAGGAGGGAGAGAGATTTTTCTTTGCAGGAATTGCAGAAGTTCTTCCTTTACTCCTACTCCCCCATCATTGTTTTTTTGTTTGTTTGTTTTTGTTTTGTTTTTTTAATATATATTTTATTGATTTTTTACAGAGAGGAAGAGAGAGGGATAGAGAGCTAGAAAGATGGATGAGAGAGTCATCAATCAGCTGCCTCTTGTACACCCCTGACTGGGGATGTGCCCGCAACCACAGTACATGCCCTTGACCGGAATCGAACCCGGGACCTTTCAGTCCGCAAGCCGACGCTCTATCCACTGAGCCAAACCGGTTTTGGCTCCCCCATCATTGTATCAACAAAAACTCACTTACACATTTCCTCCATGCTCACTGGGAAAGAGGGAGACAGGACTACATCTACGGATTTAAAAAAATATATATTTTTATTGATTTTAGAGAGGAAGGGAGGAGAGAGAAAGAGAAACATCAATGATGAGAGAGAATAACTGATTGGCTGCCTCCTGCATGCCCCATACTGGGATCAAGCCCACAACCCAGACATGTGCCCTTGCCCGTAATCGAACCCAGGATCCTTCAGTCTGCAGGCCAACGCTCTATCCACTGAGCCAAACCAGCTCTATCAACTGAGCCAAAAACATTTTATGGATTTTGATGCTTTTGCTTTCAGAAAGGAATCCTTATATGAGTTTAGGTCCTGAGATTTGCATAACTTATAGCAATTGATTGATTTTTGACCACTTTATTACATTGATAACATTAGATTGTCTGACATCTGTCATACTTTTAAAAACAAAATATGCTTTCCAACCTCCCAATCACTTTTCCCCAAACATGATTTAGACATTGCTGACAGCCTTTTCTCTTTTTACCTTTTCATTCTATCCAAAAACTATAATTATTCAGTCAGCACTACCTCAACTCCCCTTTCAGAAACATTTTTAAATGACTTGTTTTACTTAGTGTTTGAAGGGGCACAAAAGGAACAAGTTAAGAGAGCTGTATTTGAGATTGTGATAAAATTAGAGAAATTCAGAGCACTCCAGTTGGCATTGATTCTTTTTTCTCTCACCTCCTATACTATATAGTATTAATTTTCTGTTCCATTTATTCATTCAATATTTATTGAGCCATCACTTAGTTCCAGAACTATGATGGGGTAGAGGATACCAAGAGGACTAAGATATGTTCCCACTGCCCTTAAATTGCTCAAAGTCCAGCTAGGGGACTGACACATATACTTAATAACAACTGTTACTAGTAGAAACCTGTCTGGCTTGTGTAATCTTCCCGAGCTTGCAGGAAGATCTGGGATGGAGATAGCAGCATTTAATATATAAGCTATACTAAAGCATATACAGTCCTTTTATGATAATAACTGACATCTTATAATAAGCAGTAAAAAAAATCAATGGTGACTAAAGAGTATTTTTATGCATCAGCCCATGATTGGCAGGAGGAACTACTGTTAGAAGTAGGAGAGGAAGCCAGTGTGTTAATTTTTTCACCTTGAGCATTCACGCAATTTGCACTTTCACGTCTTGGTAAGGTCAACAAAGACCACGTAACTGTCATATTAAATGGAAGCTGAAAAAATCCTTATTCAAACTAACTGCCACATTCACCATTATTTATCACTGCTATTCATGAAAATGTTTTTCTTTGCCTTTGTGATATTATTCTCTCTTGATTTTTACATCTATCTGTGATCACCCTTTAGCATCTTTGTTTCTGGTTTTTCTTTTCATTGCTTTGAATATTGTTTTCCAGAGTTTCTTTTTTGGCTCTATTATCACTTTACACATTATACACACTTTTCTTATTCAAACCCATGACTTCTGCTAATGACTCTCTTCCATGTTCCCATCCCAAAGCTTTCCCCTGAGCTCCAAATTCTATTTGAAAAGATTTGCAAGAAGAGTGGTTAAGTGAAAAAAGCCAGCTGCAGATCAATATGATCATACTTATATATAGAAAAACGAAAGATATGTGCATGTGTAGTCTTTTATACTATCAATGTGCATATTTGTTTCTGCTTTATTTCAGCCTGGTAGGCACATTCTTTTCCATTTTGGGGTTGTTTGGTTAAATAAAATAATAATTTTATAGTAATTGGAATATTACCCAATTATATATTTTTTACTTTATTGCAAATATTAATGGGCATGAATTAAGAAATACTTTTATGTTATTTTAAAACACTATAACATGAATAAAAATGTAACTTTATTGTAACCACACTAACTAGCAAATAACTTTTATTCCATAATAGAAACACTTGCCAAAAAGTTGAATATTGTTGACTCAATGGAGCAAAGATTGAACAAAATGGAATTTACGGAAGTAAGAAGTTATATTATTCATTATTTAACTCAAATTATTTTTCCGGTTTTGGTGGATGTCACATATACATTAACTTAGAATTAAATCAAATATAAACATAATAACTTGTTTTATTGATTCTAAGATGCACATTTTAAAATATTTTAATGCCTCTGAAATTATGGTTACATTTTATAATCATAGTCAACTTACAATTTCTTTCAATCAGTGGTACTCATGATGTGAAAGTGTGAAAAATTCTACTGGCACCTTTGGGTAAGATAAAGAAAAGCTATCTTCTTGTATTCAGTGAAATCTGGTTATACAAATAACAATGAGACCTAAAACTTACCGATGGGCCAGGCCCTGTCCTAAGCTATCCATACAGCGTGAGCCAAAAGTAGGTTTACAGTTGTTACAGAAGACCAGGAAAGAACCAAGCCATGCTTAGAGAAAGGAAGTTACATTTTTATTAAGCTCAGGGCCAAGAAAAATGTGCCTTTCAAATTCTGGGCCCCCCACATGAAGGAAACTTTTTCTATTTGTACTTTTCCCAGCTCTTTTGTCTCCCAAATTTGGGAAAGAAGGCTCACTTGCTGGGAAGGGGCCACAAGACCATATCTCAAGGCCTAGCCTGGTGTCAGCACTGACAACTCTGTCTGGGGCATAGTCCACAGCCTCTCTGGAATTGGAGTAGTCTTATTTTCCTTATTATTTAAGCAAGAAAGCATTTACAGAAGCCAAAACATCAGGGTTAAAATTTCAAACAGCAGTTTTTATATAAGATGGATACTTCATTGTGAGTATACAAAAGACAGAGTTTATTCTTGTATTATTATTTATAAACTAGAGGCCCAGTGCACAAAATTCATACACAGGGGTGTGTGTCCCTCAGCCCAGCCTGCACCCTCTCCAATCTGAGACCCCTCGAGGAATGTCCAACTGTCCGATCCTATCTGGATCAGGCCTAAAAAGGCATTTGGACATCCCCCTCACAATCCAAAATTACCGGCTCCCAACTGCTCACCTGCTTGCCTTCCTGATTGCCCCTAACCACTTCTGCCTTCCTGATCACCCCATAACCACTCCCTGGCAGTCTGATTGATGCCTAACTGTTCCCCTGCCAGCCTGATTGCCCCTAACTTCCCTCCCCTGCAGGCCTGGTCCCCCAAACTGCCCTTCCCTGCAGGCCTGGTCCCCCAACTGCCCTTCCCTGCAGGCCTGGTCACCCCCAACTTCCCTCCCTTGCAGGCTTGATTGCCCCCAACTGCCCTCCCTTGCAGGCCTGGTCCTTCTCAACTCCCCTCCCCTGCTGGCCATATTGTGGCAGCCATCTTGTGTCCACATGGGGGCAGGATCTTTGACCACATAGGGGCAGCCATCTTGTGTGTTGGAGGGATGGTCAATTTGCATATTATTCTTTTATTAGATAGGATAGAGGCCTGGTGCACAAATGGGGACCGAGTGGTTTGTCCTGAAGGGTGTCTTGGATCACAGTGGGGGTTCTCTTGGGTTGTGGGGCAACCTGAGCGAGGGGCCTGTGGTCATTTGCAGGCCAGCCATATGGGTGAAAAGCTTGTTTTCCTTCATCACTGGGGAAACCCAAGCCTCCTGCTTGCTCTGTGGCCGGCCGCCATCTTGGTTGGGTTAATTTGCATACTTGCTCCTGATTGGATGGTGGGCATGGCTTGTTGGGTAGCAGAGTGGCAGTTAATTTGCATATTTCTCTTTTATTAATATCAATTATTTTATTATTTTCTATATGAAAAACTATAAACCTACTTTTGCCCCACCTTGTATATTAACTCAGGTAATTCAGCAATCCTTATTCCTAATTTTGTAGATGAACATACATAGATGAAGTCCAGAAAAATTAAGTAACTTGCACAAGTCTCACAGTTAGTGGAGCTGGGGAAATTTTCAATCATTCCCAGATAAATTTGAAATTGTGAGAAAAAAATCCTAGTTCCATGTGGTCTCTTGTTACTTTGCCTGCTGTTGACAAAGCCTTTCATGTCTTTTCCTCTATCTTGGGAAAGGCAATTTAATTTGCCAGACTGAAATGAAAAGATTAATCATGGTATGACTTCTTATGACTGTTCAATTGAAAATAAATGTATTCCAGAGCTCCTATTTTACCCATAAATGCCAAAATAACATTATTAAAATAAATTTTTAAAAATTAAAAGAACTAGTTAATATTAGAGCAATGTTGTAAAAAAGGAAATTCTAGTTTTCCCAATTTGCAGAGAGGGAAGTCTTCTTTAGCAATGTCTGTTAAAATGTAACTTCTCTGATTCTTCCATGTGATTGGAGACCTCTTCATATTTCATATTTACTTAATTCTAAGATAACTTTTCTTTTTGCACTTCTGAAATAAAAGTTCATCTTATAGGTCATGGGGATGTCTATGGCCTTGGTAATGATGATTTTGGTTTATATTTATTTTCCATAAGGGGGAAAGCACTTTATTTTGAGGTATGGTTGACATGTAAAAAGCTGTACATATTTACATATACACAGTTGAATTGAATATGTATAGTTTTTTATATGTCAACTATACCTCAATAAAGTTTTTTTTAAAGATGTATATTTTCACTGTATATATTTAATGAAATAATATTTTCCTCTCTTCTCCAACCTGCCAAATCTGTTCTTAAATCAATAGTCTATTTTAGGATTGGTAATTTTTTTGATAATTGAAAAAAATGCTATTTGTACTTTATAACTAAAGCACCTAATATGAAATGACAGAAAAGATGGAATACTACACTGCTGTAAAAAAGGAAGAACTCTTACCCTTCACAGTAGCATGGATGGTCCTGGAAAGGATTATTCTACTAGTAAGCAAAATAAGCCAGTCAGCATATCACATGATTTCACTCATTTGAGGAATATAACGAATATTATAAACTGATGAACAAAAATGGATACAGAGACAAAGAAACATTAAATACACTGTCAAACTTCAGTGGGAAGGCAGGGCAGCGGGTGGTGGGGAAAAGAGATCAACCAAAGGACTTGGATGTGTGCATATAAACATAACTAATGGACACAGACACTAAGGGGGTGAGGGCATGTGCTGGGGGTGGGGAGTGGACAGGGGGAGGTAAATGAGAGAAAAAGGGGAAATATATAATATATATATATCTTACTTTAAACAATAAAATAAAGCCGAAACCGGTTTGGCTCAGTGGATAGAACATCAGCCTGTGGACTGAAGGGTCCCAGGTTTGATTCCGGTCAAGAGCATTTACCTTGGTTGCAGGCACATCACCAGTAGGGGGCATGCAAGAGGCAGCTGATCAATGACTCTCTCTCTCATTGATGTTTCTAACTATCTCTCTCCCTTCCTCTCAGTAAAAAATCAATAAAATATATTTTTTAAAAATAAACAATAAAATAAAACTTTAAAAAAGGTGAAATTAAGAGAATTGTTAAAGGAATACCTGTAATGAAAGTAAGCAATCAAACAAAGAAATTTGAGCAGATTTCAAGATTAAAAATAATCTAGTAGAACCAAAACTTTTTTATATTTGTGTTAAAGTTTTATATTTTTACATTGTAAAATTAATAAAGGTGATAGGATACTTTACAGCTTTATGAGTTTATAGAAAACTAGAGGCCCAGTGCACAATATTTATGCACTGGGTGGGGAGTACCTCATCCTGACCTGCAATCTCTCCAGTCTGGGAGCTCTCAGGGGAACCCTCTCCAATCTGGGAGCCCTGACGGCTTAGGCCCACTCCCTGTGGTTCTCCGCTCTCTGAAGGGCCTAGCCACTTAGTGCCTGCTGCCCAGAGGCTCTCTGCAGCTGGGGCGGGAGGCTCTGCATGTGCACACACTGCCTAGAGGCCCTCCATGGCTGGGGCAGAACATTTGTCTCATTGCTGCAGCGACGAAGCAAGCATTCCGCCAAGCTGCTCAAGCTGCCCGCTCTCAACGGCCACTCCAGTGAGGCTGAGGGGACTGAGTGCCATCATCTTGTGGCTATGGGTGCCACTATCTTTGTGATGGAATGATGGTTGAACATCATTTATTTGATTATCTAATCAATAAATTACTGAACTATCTTATATGATATGACATAGAAGTAATATTTGAGACAATTTTTTTAAAGGGACAGTTGCTTTGAAAAGATTTGTTTTAAGGTTATTTTGTCAGAACTCATTCAATGAAACGAAGAAAATGAAATAAATGGCAGGCTGAAAGTCAATATATTGTACACAGGTGCCACCCAGTGGAGAAACTATGCCATGCAATTGCCAGGCTGACAGTTTGCAGTAGTTTCTGATTCAGTAGTTTCTGATTCAGTAGGCCCCTAAATTCACATTTCTAACAAGCTCTCAGGTGATGTGATCAAGGGATCCCACTTTAAGAGCCATTGATTTCAATGGATTTTTCCTTCTAAATATGAAAGTCAGCTGAAAAGATTTTTATCCTATATAGAAAACTTTCTTGGTTGATTTTTATTTTATTTTATTTTATTTTATTTATTTATTTTTACCTAACTCAAAAGGAAATAAGAGCAATGACTACCAAAAACTATTATATAAAATACCTAAGTTCTGTAACACAGCATCCTCTTCATGACCCAGTGAGAGAGCTACTATAATGCCTATTTCATAAATGAAGAAACTGGGAAGTTCAGTGACTCACCCAAGGTTACTCAGCCAGTAAAAATGGGAACTGGGATTTGAACCCAAACAGGTTCCAAATGTGAATTCTTAACTATTACACTATTCTACTTCCCAAGGTAGCAGATGACCTTAACTGTGCTCATTGTTCCATCAACAATAATGACAATTAGGTGGTTTAGTCAGCTAAGTAAACTAAATATTTAGGAAAGCTATTTTGCTCTCCTTCTTTTGGTCTCTAAGCCAGTTGAATAATGGTTTATGATTCATTAGCATGGATTCAAGCCTATGTATTTCTTACATGATACATTCTATATTTTCCTGATGATATTGAGGAAATAAAATAGTAACTATTCCCTTCATTTAAAAAATTGTCAGTGAAATATATCAACATAATGTTTCATTTAAACAAACTATATTAGTTACTATTCTTTAATTGCATGAAACATAAACCAACCTGAGCTAATTTAGCTGAAAATGAAATATGCAGAATCCAAGGGCAGGGATATGATCTGGCTTCCAGAAGAGACTAGAACAGAAACTTGGAAAACTTTGCTCTCTGCTTTTTGATTTATCTATCTCTATATAGAGACTTCCTCAGTATTCTCAGTTCACATGGAGTAATCTGGCCATCCACAAATTCCTAAGTTTAATTTATAGATCCAACCTCTCTCAGAGACCAATTGGCCATTACCCACTCCAAATCCCAGGAACTGAATGGCTTTGTTTAGGTTAAGTATCCTTCCCTGGCCCAATCACGTATGGCTAAGGAAGTAGGATTATTCAGTGCAAATTTGGCTACCAGTATAAATTTGGTGACTGCTGTGCTTGGGTCAGAGGAGGAAATCAGTGACTGTGAATTGGGCTAAACCTTCAAGAGGAGTCCACTCAGAAACTCTTCCAGTGCTTAATCCGTTTCTCTCTATCACAAGATATTACACTTAGGTATAGTTCAAGAATGTAATGTTCTTGACCCATCAAATTAGCAAAGATCTGGAAGGCAATACACACTAATGGTGAGGCTGAGGAGAAATAGTCACTCATATGTTAATGGTGGGAGCACAAAAGGGTAGGGTACAAGCCTGACCAATGTGAAAACCTACCAAAAATACGGATGCATTTACCTTCTAAGTTAGCGATCCTACTTCCAGGAATCTATTCAACAGGCATTAAGAAAAATGACCCAGGTCAGAGGACCTGAACAGACACCTCTCCCAAGAAGACCGACAAACAGCCAGCAGGTATTATATAAAAATATGTTCAACCTCACTAGCAATTAGGGAAATACAAATCAAAACTACAATGAGATACCACCTCATACCTGTTGGAATAGTTATTATCAACAAGACAAGTAATAACAAGTGTTGGAAAAGTTGTAGAGAAAAGAGAACTGCTGGTGGGAATGAAGACTGGCATAGCCACCATGGAAAAGTAGTCTGACAATTCCTCAAAAATTAAGAATAGAGCTACCATTTGATCCAGCAATCCCTCTCCTGAGTATATACCTGAAAAACTCAAAAGCATGTACTTGAAGAGATATATGCACCCCTATGTTCATTGAAGCATTATTCATTGTGGCCAAGACATGGAGACAACTAAGGTGTCCTTCAACAGAGGATTAAATAAAGAAGATGTGTTACATATACACAATGGAATACTACTCAGCCACAAGAAAAGACAAAATAGTGCCATTTGCAACAACATGGATGAACCCTGAGAATATTCTGTTAAGTGAAGTAAGGCAGGCAGAAAAACTAAGAACATTTATTTCATTCATATGATTTCAAACCATCTGATTTCATTCATATCCTATATAATAAAGTGGTAATATGCAAATGACTATTACTCCAACACACAAGATGGTTGCCCCATGTGGTCAAAGATGGTCACTTCCATGTAAATACAAGATGGCCACCACAAGATGGTCTGCAGGGGAGGGCAGTTCGGAGGAACCAGGCTGGCAGGGGAGGGCAGTTGGGAGGGACAAGGCCTGCAGGGGAGGGCAGTTGGGGGCAACCAGGCCAGCAGGGAAGGGTAGTTAGGGATGACCAGGCCTGCAGGGGAGCACAGTTAGGGGCAACCAGGCCAGCAGGGGAGCAGTCAGGCTGGCAAGGGAGCGGTTATGGGGTGTTCAGGCTGGTAGGCAGAAGTGGTTTAGGGGCAATCAGGCAGGCAGGCTGGTGAGAGGTTGGGAGCCAGCAGTTTTGGATTTTGAGAGGGATCTCAGATTGGAGAGGGTGCAGGCTGAGCTGAGAGACATACACAAACCCGCCCCCCATGCATGAATTTCATGCACCAGGCCTCTAGTGTGGAATATAAAAACTGAACCTCGTGGACACAAACAGCAATGTGGTAGTTGCCAGAGGGAAGAGGCTAGCGGTGGGAAGAGGCTAGCGGTGAAGGGGACCTAATGATGCAAGATGATTTGACTTTAGGTGGTCAAATGCAAGATGACTTGACACAGTGTAATATACAAATACTTTAACATAGAAATCCACACCTGAAACCTTCAAGATCCTATTAACCAATGACAACCCAGAAATTTAATAATAAAATAAGTAACTATTATGAACAAAGAAAAATGGCTCAAGATCATATGAGTTTGGAATAGTAGTGGCAGAAATATGGATTCCTCAAGATAAAACAATGTGCCCACTACATTTAAGATGGGTCTATATTAGGGGTGTCGAACTCAATCAGAGAAGGGGCCAATCTAAAATCCAGCCTAAATCGCGGGCCGAATGGTTTACTGAACAGTCATAAACTGTCATTGTGATGGAAACGCAGCGGAGTGCAATGATGACAGCGCGGTGCGGGCCACATTGCAAGGCCTGGCGGGACGGATTTGGCCCTCGGGCCTTGTGTTTGACACATGTGGTATATATAGTCTCAAAACAAGTCAACCATGGGCTGGTTACCCAACTTTTATACCTGTATCATTTTTCATCTTGCTAAGAATTTACAGCATTTAAACTGAACATGATAAAAAAAAAAAAGGAGGCATTTGTCCCTTGACTGGAAATTTATTTATTTATTTATTTATTTATTTATTTATTTATTTTTTAATATATTTTATTGATTTTGTACAGAGAGGAAGGGAGAGAGATAGAGAGTTAAAAACATCGATGAGAGAGAGAGTCTTCGATCAGCTGCCTCTTGCACACCCCCTACTGGGGATATGCCCGCAACCAAGGTACATGCCCTTGACCAGAATCGAACCCGGGACCTTTCAGTCCCCAAGCCGACGCTCTATCCATTGAGCCAAACCGGTTTCGGCTATTTATTTATTTTAAATGGCCTAGGATCATAGATGTTTCAGACTCTACACTTTCAAAAGAAACAGAAAATCATAGACAAAGAATACCTTATTGCAATATTTTTTTAAAAAACACACACACACAAACCATAAAACAAACACCCCATCTACAATTCCTATCCCTTACACTCTAATAATTAAATGTAGTCAGTCTTGAAAAACAGTCTTATATGCCATACATCAAAAGAAAAGCTGCATTCAATTTTTAGAGCCAGTAATTTACAGGCAACGTTCTATGACTGCTGCTGTTACACAATCAGGTAAAAATTGTGTCCTATATAGTGCTGATGTGATCTAAAAGGAAATTGCTTCCAAAATACCTAGTCCCACTGGTATGTGGCGTTGGGGACTGTTATTGATCAGCTCCCTCTGCTGACAGCCTGTAGAGTCGCACTAATAGGAAATGCTTTATCTCAGTGACAAGCAAATGATATGGGGGAAATGGCAGCCATTAATTCATGCACCTCAACTGAATCCTCGGAAAAACCCAAGGAAAGAGCACAGTTTTACATCAGTCACTTTTCCTCTTTCTCCCTGCAGTACATCTCTTTGCATATTGCAGACCTGAAAAGTGAAATCTTTGAAGAACTCCTGAAGCACCTCTGCCACTGTGCAGATGAATTCCGGGAGATCATAAAAGCGGATATGCAGAGGCAGATGTTTGTTGAACTCTTCCTGCATTGTGACTGTGCCAAGGTAGGGTAAGAACCTTAAAGCCATGTTTCTTAAACTATTTGCTGTAAAGGACCAGTTTTTAGTTTGTTGTTAATGGTGATATTTTGAATTTCTAATCTGCTGTGGAATGAAAAATGGATTACGAAGGTGGAAAAGTACATACAAAATACAACTCATATTTTTATTGTCAGATTCGACTCTGATTTAGCATTTGTTACTTTCTCAAATTTGCTAGATGCTGTTTTCAAGTTATGTACCTTTCTCACCACAGACTTGTACCAGCTTATAGACCACACCTTGCATGGCACAACATTTCACAGCATATAACTTATCTCTAAATCTCTTTCCAATTCTTAAGAATGGGTTGCTTACTATTGTTTTTGCTTACTCTCTTTTTCTGGTGGCTTCTTATAAAAAAAAAAGCTGCAAGGAATAGGAATTCTACTACATCTTATTATACTGCTTCTTTAAAAGAAAAGTTTATATCAAAAAGTATTTCTAAGAATGGTACTTGGGAGGATATTGGTGTGCTATTGCCAAATGGATTTTTTAAATAGGTACAAATTTTACTGATATGTATTTGTTTATGAACTTTGTATCCCTCTGTTCCAAAAAAAAGATTGCAACAAAGGAACATATATTAAAAGTAGGATGAAGGAAGTGAAAAATAAGAGAGACGATAGTAACTGAAGCTGGGAATAAAGCCCAAAATGTGTATTAGAATTGCCTAAATATTTGTTCTAGGTTGCCTACAAGTTTAAATCTAAGCTTCCTAATAGTGAATGTGAGAAGGGAAACATAAGGAAACATTCCATCGGGGTTTATAAGATAAAGTACAGAAAAGTCAGCAGTTCCTCCCTCAAGTACTCGCAAAGGGACCCCGTGTGTTGAAATGCAAGACCATTATGCCAGACATATAATAAATGAAACAATGACTTTCTTAGAGAAATTTCTTATAACCACCTAGGTAAATGATACCACACCTGACTGCAATTCAGAGAAAGCAAGTTTTGAAGGAGCCAATATATTGAAGTCTAGGTTCTCAGATCCCTGCTAATTTGGCTTACATCAGGAATATATTTTATAAAATCTGAAATGTCTATGTGTCCTGTTGAACATTGTTTCTTTTAACGAAGCTTATAAGTATTGGTGACATGGAGGTCAAGATTTTACTCTCCAATAAATGCCTGGATACCAACTATTCATTGTTGGCCAATTTAATACCAATTCATATGCTATAACAAACATAGCAGGGTCATATTTAAATAAGTTAAATTAGATTTGGTTGTGCCTTTTGCATTTCTTCCCAGTGTTCAAATAGAAGCTATGTGCTGATCTGGTAGGTAAGAGAGATACAGTTTAGGAAAAAGCAGTTCTGAATATTTTTAACCAATAGCTGAGACAAGAGTTCAAAAGCCTGTACTTTCACTTGAAAATCCAGGGCTCCTGAAAAAAAAAAAAAAAAAAAAAAAGGCAGCCCTAACCCGTTTGGCTTGGTGGATAGAGCATCGGCCTGCGGACTGAAGAGTCCCAGGTTTGATTCCGGTCAAGGGCACGTACCTTGGTTGCAGGCCCATCCCCAGTCAGATGCCCTGACCGGGGTGTGCAGGAGGCAGCTGATCAGTGTTTTTCTCTCATTGATGTTTCCAGCTCCCTCTCCCTCTCCCTTCCTCTCTGTAAAAAAAGTCAATAAAATATATGTATTTTTAAAAAGAGTCATTGACAGGCTGGGAGCAGCCAGGCCCGGAACGGCCGGGCCCGGAGCAACCGGGCCCAGAGCAGCCGGGTCGGGTGTGGCCAGGTCTGTAGCGGTAACAGCCAAGTCCAGAGCAACTAGGTCGGGAGTGGCAGTGACCAGACCCGGAGCAGCGACTGCCAGGCTGGGAGCGGCCAGGCCCGGAGCAGCCGGGTCTGGTGCGGTCAGGCCAGGAGCAGCGGCTGACAGGCTGGGAGCAGCCAGGCCCGGAGTGGCAGGGCCCGGAGCAGCTGGGTCGGGTGTGGCCAGGCCTGTAGCAACAACAGTCAAGTCCAGAGCAACTAGGTCAGGAGCGGTAGTGACCAGACCCGGAGCACCGACTGCCAGGCTGGGAGCGGCCAGGCCCGGAACAGCCGGGTCTGGTGTGGCCAGGCCCGGAGCAGAGGCTGCCAGGCTGGGAGCGGCCAGGCCCGGAGCAGCGGCTGACAGGCTGGGAGCAGCCAGGCCCGGAGCGGCCGGGCCCGGAGCAACCGGGCCCAGAGCAGCCGGGTCGGGTGTGGCCAGGTCTGTAGCAGCAACAGCCAAGTCCAGAGCAACTAGGTCGGGAGTGGCAGTGACCAGACCCGGAGCAGCAACTGCCAGGCTGGGAGCGGCCAGGCCCAGAGCAGCCGGGTCTGGTGCGGCCAGGCCCGGAGCAGTGGCTGCCAGGCTGGGAGCGGCCAGGCCCGGAGCAGCCGGGTCTGGTGCGGCCAGGCCCGGAGCAGCGGCTGACAGGCTGGGAGCAGCCAGGCCCGGAGCGGCCGGGCCCGGAGCAACCGGGCCCAGAGCAGCTGGGTCAGGTGTGGCCAGGCCTGTAGCAACAACAGTCAGGTCCAGAGCAACTAGGTCAGGAGCGGCAGTGAACAGACCCGGAGCAGCGACTGCCAGGCTGGGAGCGGCCAGGCCCAGAACAGCCGGGTCTGGTGTGGCCAGGCCCGGAGCAGAGGCTGCCAGGCTGGGAGCGGCCAGGCCCAGAACAGCCGGGTCTGGTGTGGCCAGGCCCGGAGCAGCGGCTGCCAGGCTGGGAGCGGCCAGGCTTGGAGCAGCGGCTGCCAGGCTGGGAGCGGCCAGGCCCGGAGCAGCCGGGTCCGGTGCGGCCAGGCCCGGAGCAGCGGCTGACAGGCTGGGTGCGGCCAGGCTTGGAGCAGCGACTGCCAGGCTGGGAGCGGCCAGGCCCGGAGCAGCCGGGTCCGGTGCGGCCAGGCCCGGAGCAGCGGCTGCCAGGCTGGGTGCGGCCAGGCCCGAAGCAGCGGCTGCCAGGCTGGGAGCGGCCAGGCCCGGAGCAGCCGGGTCCGGTGCGGCCAGGCCCGGAGCAGCGGCTGCCAGGCTCGGTGCGGCCAGGCCCGGAGAAGCGGCTGTCAGGCTGGGAGCAGCCAGGCCCGGAGCGGCCGGGCCCGGAGCAATTGGGCCCAGAGCAGCTGAGTCGGGTGTGGCCAGGCCTGTAGCAGCAACAGCCAAGTCCAGAGCAACTGGGTCAGGAGCGGCAGTGACCAGACACGGAGCAGCTGGTTGTGGAACAAACCAGAGCAACAGAGGCCAGGCCCGGAGCAGCCTGGCCCAAAACAGCTCGCTCCTCACCTGCCCCTGCCCCACAGCTGCCTCTCAGACATGGCTGGAAACTTTTGCGGGAACTTGAGGGTCTGCTGAATCAAGTGATGAAGGCTTATATCTGGATGTGTTGAGTTAGTATAGTCCTGGGGTGTTGATCTGTGAGTGCCTTGGGTGGGGCCTGGATGAGGCTGGTTGTCCTATTAGGAAATGTCTTTTGTGTGAAGTGTATCATTGGGCATGTGGAGGTATTATTGATATGAGAAAATGCTAAGTAACAGATTTGCTATCTGAAAAGGGATTTACTATCGGGGAAAGGGAGGGAGGAAGAGACTGAACATAAACTGTGCACCAATGGATGAGGATGAGGGGGCAGAGGGTGGGGTGGGAACCTGGTGGAGGGGGGAAGAAACGAGGAACCTGTGTAATAATATGAACAATAAAGATTGATTTAAAAAAAAAAAAAAAAAAAAAAAAGAGTCATTGAATAAGGAAGAATGCAAAATAAGACATTAAAGCACTTTTTCTATCACTGGGAAACTGACCAGCTGATGGAAGGAAGAGGTAGTAGAGGGGATGTGATTAGGGGTGAGAGGTTGTCTGGGTCTCTAAGTCAGAGTTAGTACCTGATCCCCCACCTTCGAGCCCCAATCAGGGCTGAAGGTAATATACTCTTAGAAATTCTAAGTAGGTTGTGGAGAAATTTAAGAACGGCAGGGCTTATGCTTTTTTTCCTGGGTTTAGCTCAGAGACCGAAGCTTCATAGAGAAGAACTGAATCCAACATGACACTAAAGCGCTAAAGTGCTGCGGAAGGGTCTAGGGAGAGGGGCCTGAGGTCAGTCCACGCCTGTGGCTCCAGGAAAGGTGATGAGATTCCCAAATACCTGTGGTAAGGGGAGTGGTTGTGCAGAGAAGGTGGCAGTAAGAGTTCTGGGTGTAACTCCAAGAAGATACCCTGGCCGGTTAGAGCATTGTCCTGATATGCCAAGGTTAGGGGTTTGATCCCTGGTCAGGGCACATATAAGAAATCAGCCAATGAATGCATAAATAAATTATTGTAGTATACAATTCATTAATTGCCTTTCTATTTATTTACCCTAGGGAAATGTTTATACATGTACACAGGAGATATGTATAAGGACATCTATTGTACACATTATTTTTGGTATCAAAATACTGGAAATAATCTAAATGCCCATCAAAAAAAATTTCTTTTAATTAGAATTTTTTACATTATAGAATACTATACAGTTAAAAGAAATGAGATAATGTTTCTTTACATACATGAATCAGATCTCAATGTTGTGTAAATAAGAGCAATTTTAAGGATAACTGAAATGCTTATAAAAAGTTTTTTGTTTTTTTAAGCGGAGGGAACATTTGAGATCTTGTTTCCTAGCATGTCATCAGTTTGGCTCAAATTAACTCTTCACAAAAATATTTTTAAAATTTTAAAAAGGATACATATACTGTGATATCAGTTATATATATGTTTTGTTTGATTGGTTGGTTGGTTTTGTTTTGTTAACCCACCCCCAGGGACATATTTTCTATTGATTTTTAGAGAGAATTAAAGGGAATGAGGTTGAGAGAGAGAGAGATAAAGAGAGAGAAAGAGAATGAGAGAAACATTGATGTGAGAGAAACACATCGATTTGTTGCCTCTCGCATATGCCCCAGCTGGGGTCAGGAATCAAACCTGCAACCCTTTGGTTTGCAGGCCGATGCTTTAACCACTGAGCAACACCAGCCAAGGCTCAGTTATAGATTTTTAAAGCACAAAGAAAAAATGGTAATAATCGTCATTTCTGGGTGCTGGGAACACAAAGTGTTAGTTTTATCATTTTCTTATTTTTTCTAAAATTAACTTTTTCCCAAAATAAAAATGCTAAAAAAAAGAACAAGTAGGGAGCAGTTAATTGTCCTAAGTGTCATGCTTAGATCAGATTAGATGGGAATTGAACATTGTACACTGGATTAAACAATTACATCAGTAACAAATATTTGTTCAGCATCTTTAAGTGTAAGGCATTTTGACATGTCACAGAATGGGAAAATAGAGTATAAGTCGAAAGAGGCCAGGTATAGCTTTCCCAATTTTGACTGCAGATTTTATTTATATGATGATGATAGTGATGGTAGTGATAAATGTTCCAATAGGCCATAGTCTGTCTACATAAAAATCTCAAATCTCTTCTAACACCTAATCATCAGCTTTCTGCTTAGGTAGGGTTTGTGGATCGGCAGAGGACACTGGCCTTGCTGGAAACATTCTATGACCAAAGTCCAAAAATGCTCAAGCATTTACTCCGAAACCCGAGACAATGTAAGTGCCACTCAGAGGGAGTATGCTCAAACTGAAATTATTAAGTCCACCAATATGATAATATAAGGCCATTCTATCCCTGTGGAATTTCTTCATGTCCCTCTTAGATCATGATAGCTATATCTAGCTGCTCATTCCCCACAAAATTCATTCTTTATTACAACTAGATGTATTTTTCACTACAGTGCAATACTAAAAGTTGTCAAGCTAGAACTCAATTTTTAATTTGTTCAAATGAAGAAATGTTTTAGTAACCATCTGAATGTTTCAGAAATTTAGTTGGTAATGGTAATTCCAGTTTTAGTGTCCAACTTAGAATTCTAAGATTTTTAATAAAAAAGTTTCCCTCTCTCAAGCATTTTTACTTGTACATCTTTATTGTACGAATACAGTGAAAATTTTATATTACCACCAAAACAAATAGGACTGGTGGTTTTATTTTTATTTCTTTCTTTTTATTTTGTTTTATTGATTTTCCACAGAGAGGAACGGAGAGGGATAGAGAGCTAGAAATGTAGATGAGAGAGAATCATCGACCATCAGCCTCCTACATACCCCCTACCGGGGATGTGCCCGCAACCAAGGTACATGCCCTTGACGGGAATCAAAGCTGGGACCTTTCAGTCCGCAGACCGACGCTCTATCCACTGAGCCAAACCGGTTTTGGCTATTTTTATTTCTTAAAGAGAAAGTTATTGAATGGATGGGTTTTCCAAAAAATGTCAGTATATTATTTCTGTGTGATAACTTATCACTTGGATACTTAAAAACCTGTGGATGATGTACACAAAGTATTCCCTAAACCCATGGGAGTCACAATTTTATAGCCTAAATACTAAATGTTTCAGAAGGGAAAGGCAATCTTTGGCATGGTCACACTTTTTGTAGCCCAGGTCACCAGTGTTGTTTTGGTGGTGGTATTCTTTTTTTAACAGTTGGATTCTGGTGAATGCTATTCAATCTTTCCCTAGAATTCTGAGTCAAGTGTCCACATAAGTTGTTGTGGAAAAGAACTGAGGAAAGAAGAAAGAAAGGTAGAGAAGGAGAGAAAATGAATATTGGAAAAAATAACCCAGTGAAAAATTGTCATGGGTAGAGACATGCTTTCATCTTGATATTGCAGATACTGAAAAGGTATTTGAGGTGGAAGACATATGTCCCCGTACTCATTCCATGCCAACCTCATTGTAGAGTACTAAAAGTAGAGAATAGGTTGTATTTGTCTTGGCAGTTTAAGCAACTCTCCAACTATTAATTTTCAAAACCACAGCTTTTAAGAAGGGATACTTTCTATTTTACAGTAATGAGCATCTTTTATGTTCAATTGGATACCTTTTTGGTTTTTATTGTATTGCAGAGAAAGGTAACTGGTACTTATTTAAAGTAATAGACATATATTATAATCACTGTGCTCAATGCTTTTTTTTTTTTTTTTGCATTAACTTACTAGTTCTGATTCTGTATTATAAGAGCAATTGTTTAGGTAAATGCTTTGTTCTTTTGCATTAGGGCCACTCATTGAATTTGAAGAGATAGAGTTGCCCGAGTTGTGGGGAGACATGGATAATCAGAAACACATTTATGAAGACTTTGACAATGTGTTCTTAGAGGTTACTACATCACTGTCTGAAAAAAACAAACAAACTACATTGCTTAAAAAACCAGATCTACAAAAACATGATAAACGTAGAAAATCAACACAATTTCTGAGACTACCAGAACAGCAGAGAAGAAAAAGTCCGGGACAAGACCCAAACAAAATTTTAAGTGAAATGGACTCAGACTCAACAGCACAAGGACAGCAAAAAGGGGCAACAGCGCGGCCAGGATCACGCAGAGGGTCACGCAGAATGTCAGCAGTAGACGAACCACAAACAAGTTCACCTGGAGGATCACGCACAGGGTCACGCAGAATGTCAGCAGTAGACGAACCACTGAAAGGGTCAAAAGAAGAATCAAGCAGAGAGCCAGTAACAGAACAAGGGGTAAAAAGAGAGTCAACTGCAGAAGAAGACTCACACAGAGAGTCAGTAATAGAAGGATCAAACAGAGAGTTAGAAACAGAACAAGGAGTACCCAGAGGGTCAATTGCAGAAGAAGGAGTACCCAGAGGGTCAATTGCAGAAGAAGGAGTACCCAGAGGGTCAATTGCAGAAGAAGGAACTCCTAGAGAGTCACCAAGAGGATCACACAGAATGTCAGTAACAGAAGAACCAAATAGATGGCCCGCTGACACACAAGAATCACCCAGAGAGTCAGTAGGAGAACAAGGACCACAAAGAGGGTCAACTGAAGAAGACGAATATCTTGAAGAGTCAGTAACACGAAGAGGATCACGCAAAGGATCACGCAGAACGTCAGTAATAGATGAACCACAAGAATCACACATAGATTCAGTAGCAGAACAAAGATCACAAAAAGGGTCAATTGCAGAAGAAGCACCTTCCAGAGATTTACTAACACCAGAAGGGTCACGCAGAGGATCACACAGAATGTCATTACTAGAATCACATAAAGTGTCAGATGAAGAACTAGAATCACCCAGAGAGACAATTCCAGAAGAACAGGGCATAGCCTCAACCTCACCAGCAAGGGAAGGTAATATCTCAAAAGAAAGTAAAAACATATAGGGAGGTTACTGGGATAGAACTATGATTCCTGGTTCATAAGTCGATGCTCAATCACTGAGCTACACTGGGCAGGCTGTGGAATGGTTTTTAAAGTCTTCAGAAAATACCCATTTCAATTAGGATCTTTTCTGATATATCAGATCATGCAGATCTTAGACATATTTTGCTACTCAGCATGAGACTAGACCTTGACCAATTAATTAAATGCAAACCACAAAGACTCTATTATCAGACTCATATGTAACACCTTAATCAATAAAGAATAAAAAATAAAAAATAAATAAATACATAAATAAATAAAAATAAGACTCTATTATCCATTTACTTAGAATTTTTGTGGGTGTTTTTTTTTTTTTAATATATTTTATTGATTTTTGTACAGAGAGGAAGGGAGAGAGATAGAGAGCTAGAAATATCAATGAGAGAGAGTCATTGATCAGCTGCCTCCTGCACACCCCCCACTGGGGATATGCCCGCAACCAAGGTACATGCCCTTGACCGGAATCAAACCCGGGACCCTTCAGTCCCCAAGCCGACGCTCCATCCATTGAGCCAAACCGGTCCTAGCAGTGGGTGTTTTTTTTAGAGAGAGAGTGGATGTGGGGTGGCAGAGACAGAGAGAGGAACATGGATGTGAGAGAGACACCTTGATTGATTGCCTCCTGCATGTGCCCTGACAAGGGCTGGAAATCAAGCCTGCAATGAGGTATGTGTCTGTATCTTAGATTGGAATCAAACCTGGAACCTTCAGTCTGCTCTATCCACTGACCCAAACTGGCTAGGGCTACCTAGAATTCTTTTTTTTTTTTTTTTTTACACTAAAAACCCATTTGTAAGGAAGAAATCTGGTAATGTTGCTTATAGAAATTTGTGTTGGACCTCTGAAAATGCAGTAGAAGCCCTTTTGTTTTAAATGTGGGGTCTAATATTAGAAACAACTTTTAAAAATTTCTTTTATTTCACCTATGAAATGGATCTTGATTTTTCAGTTATAAATAAGACTAGGGGAGTCCCTCATCCCAACCTGCCCCCTCTCCAATTTGGGAGCCCTCAGGGAATGTCCTACTGACGGCTTAGGCCTGCTCCTTGTGGTTCTCTGCTCTTTGTGGACCTGCCTGCTTTACGCCACCCTGGCCCTGGTGTCTTCTCTCTGTGGGGGTCTGCTTGCCCTTAGCCACCAAGGCCAGGGGTAAGCAGGGCCCTGATATCTGCTCTCTGGCTCTCTGCCGCAGGGGCAAGCAGGTCCCTGTTGTCTGCTCTCTGGGGAGGCCCTGCAGGGGACTGCTTGCCCCTTGCTGCCATGGCCAGGAGCAAGCAGGGCCCTGCTGTCAGTTCACTCGCTGTGGGGGATGTTCCCGCCCTCCCCCAGGCCACTTGCGCATGTGCCGGCTCAGAGTGCCTGGTCCCAAGGATGTTCCCGCCCCACCCTCCCTCCTCACCCCCCAGCTGCTCCACGCCTGTGTGCATAGGCCCAGAGTGGCAGGAGGGTTGTTCCAGGATCCCCACGTGGACCTACAGGCTCAGAGCAGCCTGGCTCCCAAGGACATCTGTACTTGGGACACAGGCTGCTTGGTGCCAGCATGTGCAAGTGGCCACCCTGCCCCCTGCTGTTCTGCACCTGTGTATGCAAATTAACCTACCATCTTTGTTTGGGTTAATTTGAATACTCACTCCTGATTGGCTGGTGGGCATCGCAGTATGGTTAATTAGCATATTTATATTTTATTACTGTGTATATATATATTTCTAGAAAAGTTTCTGAAAGCTGTATTTAAGACAGAGAGCACCCTGCAATTCAAATTTTATTCTGCAGAAGACTTTTTTCCTCTGAATTGCCAATTTATGACCTTTTCCTATAAAAAATTCTAACCTTTTAAAGAGCCAACCTTAATACCACTGAAGATCTCAGTTAGGCATATATATTTTTTAAATTCTGATCTTTAATTCTACATCCCAAAGAAAATTTGTAGAAAATAGGTAACCTGTGTTTTAGATTCTACACTATCATCAACTGATTTGAAATTTTTTTAGCATTATGTTTATTTCTCCATAAAACAGAGTTACTAATTTCTGGCTCTCCTTACATAAGGATGTAGCATTAAAAGAGTAGTGAGGCTACTATTCAACCAGATGTTATGTTAGTGAGGTCTTAATTTTGGCTATGTGTAACAGTGTTCCAAAATGACAGTGTCTGAAAAATAAAAATAATAGTTTCTAAATAAGAAAGGAGTGTCTTTCTTTCTCATATAAAAGTCAAAAGTTCTATGAAAGCTCAGTCCCATGAAATCAGCAATGGCTCAGCTCCTTCTATCTGGTATCTCCTCCAACCACATGGACCAAGATGGTTCACTGCCATGTCTACATTCTGACCAGCAGGTGAGGAGAAAGGAAAATGGATAAGCATCACATCATTTCCCTGCAGGGATCATTGGTCAGTATATAAGGATACTAGAGGCCCATTGCACGATATTCATGCAAGAAAAGGCCTTCATTCCCCTGGCTTCACTCCCAGCCACCTGGGAACTGGCAAGTCCTTGCTCCCTGGCTGCCCCGGAGCAGGCACCTTCTCACCCCCAGGGTGCCTGGAGCTGGCAAGTTCTCGCTTCTGTCTGGAGCACCACTCCAGTAGCTCCCTCCAACCCCCCATTTCCCTTCATAGCAAGCTTCACTACGCTCAGTACCTGAATATGCAAATTAACCTCCATATTTGTTGGGTTAATTTGCATACTCCCTCTGCTTGGCTGTGGGCATAGTGGAGTGATGGTTAATTGACATGTTTCTCTTTTATTAGGTAAGATAGTCAGGGAGGCTAGGAAATGTAGGCCTCATTTTGTGTGGCCAAATTGGGGTACAACAAATAGCTTTTGTCAAAGAGCTGCTCTCAACAACTGGAGTTATTAAGTTATATCATGTGGTTGATTATGACACACCATATATGGGAAAGTACCTGAAAGAAAGTTTTTGGTGGTCTATATGCAAGGCATTTCTCTTATTCATTAACTTAAGAATATGTAATGTCCAACTCATAGGCATTTTCTTTTATACCTTTTAGAAACTGCAAAGAAGAAAGTTAAAAAAGACAAAGCCTGTGAACCCAAGTCCCAAAAAATAGAAGGAAAGTCATGGCCAGGTAACTCACTCAATCCTCCTTTCATTTATACTGTAGAACAAAAACATTGTGACAGTGAAGTTAAATTGCCTATGTTATGTGGAATGTGTATTTTATAGGTGAACTTTTGACTTGTGACTTGAAGACGTATGTAAAATTCGAAGATGAGGAACAGGCAAACTTAATCTATGATAACTACAGATTCACAGGTACATATTAACAACAAAATTAGAAAGAATAGATCCCAGTCTGATTGATGAATTTAACTTATTGTGGTACCCCATGATAAAGACTGGACTTAGACAAGACACAATACCAGAGTGAACCTTGTATTATTTTGTCCCTGAGCTGATGGATCTAAACATGTACAAGATGGTCCAGCTGGTGTTGCTCAGTGGTTGAGTGTCGATCTATGAACCAGGAGGTCACAGTTCGTTCCTGATCAGGGCATATCCTGGGTTACGGGGTTGATTTTCAGTGTGGGGCATATAGGATCAATAATTCTCTCTCATCATTGATATTTCTATCTCTCCTTCCTTCTTTTCTGAAACCAATAAAAATATATATTTTTAAAAATATATATTTATAAGATGAATGTTTTAGTGGTAGTAGGCATGTGCTATTGATGAATGTTCCTTTGCTTAAAAACATATCCATTAGTATACAGATTTTAAAATAATTAAATGGCCCAACAGCTGTTTTTAAGCTATGATCCAGATATACAAAAGGAATAAGATATTAGATATTACTACTCAATAGAAATAATTTCAGCTATTACTCTCCCTGTTAGTTTCATATCCAAACATGTGAAACAGGTGAGACTATAGATTGTTTTTGAAGATCTACATATAAAGAAAGATCTACTCAACAGAGAGAGCAAAGAGTAGCTTTTACTTAACAGTGAATGTTCCTACAAGTACTAATATTTCATGCTATTTTATCACTTTTACCTTTAATTAGATCAGCATTATTTTCTTTCTTTTTTTTATCTTTATTGTTGACAGCATTACAGATGCCCCCTTTACTCCCCACCACACCCTAGACCTTCACCAACCTATTGTCTGTATTCATGAAAACAACAACTATGGGAACTTAAGACAGCCCCTAGAAGCTGAAAGATTATTTTATTCCTATCTGCAATTTTAAAAATTTTAAGTCTGGGTCAAGTAATAAACTTCTTATCCTCAAAATATTTTGGTGAAAATGTATAGCATCAGTCAAGCTCTTATAGCCTGCTAGTTCATGTTCTTCTTCTTGTCTTCTATATTTCCATTTTGCTCTACTATTTGGAAAATAAACTGCATGAGTATTTTTAAGCTATGTCAAATCTCTTATAGAAATCACAAGGGCAGGAATGATTAACTCAATGAATAAATCAAACGTAAGTCACTGGGTTGAATTTTATGAAACATGCCTCATGTTAGAACATTGAGCTTCGTGATAAATATAGTAAAGACTCATTGGGGAAGGGGTTGTAATGGTGGTATTTACAGACTTATTTAACTGGCAAGTCCAGGTTGCAGCTGGCTTCAGGCACAATTAAATCCAAGGCCCCAACAACAACAGCAGGGCACTGTCTTTCTGCCCCTCAGCCCTGTTCTGTGTGCCACTTTCCGTTTTAGGTTGTTTTTTTCCATACTGTGAGAAAGATGCCCATGAGGGTATTTCTAAGCTTATAGCCTATCAGTTCAGGAATCAAGAGTACAAAAGGAGGGGTTCTTCCCCCAATTGTTTCCCCAAAAGTTCTGGGTTCAAATTCTCATTGGTCTATAGTGTATTACATTGCTGTTATAAATAGATCATTGGCCAGACCTATGTCACATGGCAATCTTTGGGGCATGGATGGGGGAGGTTAAGTACTACTTGACTTACCTAAACAGATAATGGGTAAGAGATGTTTTGTCAAATAAAAAAGAAATGATGCTGAACTCATAAAGGAGGCTCGGATTTCTGACAGGAAAATAATAGCTACTGTCCATTATAATAAATACTCGTGTATTTTTTAATCTTTGAGAAAATGGTCCATTTTACTGTATGTTTCCTGCTTTATAGACCTACATTCAATTATCAGGAATATTCAGTCTTACAAAGTGAAAGGAAGGAGTGCCTTCAATGGAGTTTCCCTTAATCTGCTCCAGTTTGTGCAACTCCTGGAGACATTTGTTGGTGAAGATGTCCCTTTGAGTACCAGTGAGACCCTCACCTCTTTTTTCAAGTGGGGCTATGCTGAAACAAAAGAAGAGAAAATTAGTGACTTGGAAGAGGTGAGTAATATTGTTTATCATTGAAACAAGTGAGGTCACTATTATTAAATTTGTCAACCTCAGTAGTTTCTAGTGTGGCTCTTCTTTAAAAATTTACAACTAAACGTATCACTATTTCAATGAGCGTGGCCACTGAATATTTTATTTTATTGCCAAATAAAATGAGTTCATACTCCAGAGAACTCATTCCCCTAATAATATCATGATTGATGATGGCAGGAGATGGTTTACTGGACAGCTTTTTTTTTTTTATCACTGAAGTTTGAATAGCAGATTCTATGGAGCAAATATGTGTATGAATAAAGATATCTCATGTGTGTGTATCTGTGGGAGTTCATTTACAAATGCACATACATAGGGTTCAATTATGGCTTGAATATATCATGTGCATTGCATCAGGTAGTACATATTTTGTAAGAACTTACTATTTAGGTGTAGGTAAATGCACATACATTAGCTGATACAAACAATTTATGTGCTCATATATGAAATATGTAAATTAGATTTACCAGGCATATTCAGTAATCTCAGCAGCCTTATGAATCTTCTCAACTTAATTCTAAAGGTGATATCCCTTTTGCCTCCTCAACAGCAGTTCCCCCATTTAACCAAAAGGTATATATTCACTTTGTTTCAGCAATTAAATATATCTAGATATTAATTAAATTACTGATGAATTGATATAATTAATCTAGTAAAAAGTATAAAAGGTAATTAATGCCAAGTTAGGTCAATGTTAAAAAAATTTAACAGTAACTTTTTATTGTTTGAACACTGCCATTCATCCCCCTTCACTACAAAACAAATCCCAATGAGAAGCCAGGAAAAGCACCCCATGTGTTCATCATATTCCTGAACAAGCAGTGAAGGAGTGGAAAGAAATGCATTAAAGATTCTTAAGGAGTGTAGTCTTCTTTCTAAATTAATGTGTTTTAATCCAATGCAGAAACAGAGAAATGGTACTTAGAGGATTGAAATTAGATGATTCCCTTTCCCACTAATATCATGCTGAGTCCCAAGTAAAACTGTTTTTATAAAAAATGCTGCACTTTTTTTGGGAATAAACATAGGATGCCAGCTAGTAGAACAAACAGCAAGTCTTCTGTGCTTTGTTATCTTGCTTGTATCCTAGGCTATACAAAACTCTTTCCAATTTCGACGGGAACTTCTCCTAGATGCCCTCTTTCAGTTATGGGACAGTGATGGCTCAGGCTTCTTAGATTTGAATGAAGTTGATGAACTCTTGTATACATACAAGGAAGGAATGGAAAAAGAAGCTATGAAGACAGGTAAAAGTATAATAATTTTCTTATTTAAGTTAACAACTTGGCTTCCAGTTTCCTGGTAGTATGACATATATACAGTTAAACATTGGTTGTTCTAAAACCATGAGATACCACCTTCACACTTGCTAGTATGGCGACAAATTGCTCAGCTTTATTATGATATAACTGACTTATAACACTGTATAAATTTAAGATGTACAACATGTTGGTTTGATACACTTATATATTGTGAAATTATTCCCATAGTAGTATTAGTTAACACCTCCATCACCTCCCATAATTACTATCTTTTTCGTTGTGAGAATGAAACTTTCAAGTGTTTAACACAGTATTGATAACTATAGTCACTATGCTGCCTAGTAGATACCCAGCTGCTGGCCAGGGCCTTACTTTGTTTTGTGCCACCCCCTGGCACATTTAAATACTTAAATAGCATTTAAAATGGAAATAATTTTAAATTATTTGGACTGATTTTTCATGCCACCCCTGGCACACATCACAGCAAGTGGTCAAACTCCCAGTCGGTCAAACTCCCGAGGAGACAATTTGCATATTAGCCTTTTATCATATAAGATTTTGTATCCTTTGACCAACATCTCTCCATTTTCCCTACCCCCAGCTCCTGGCAACCACCATTATACAGTCTGTTTTTATGAGTTTGCCTTTTTTCAATTTCACATATAAGTGAGACAGTACAGTATTTGTCTTTCTCTGTCTGACTTATTTCACTTAATATTATATAATGCCTTCACAATCCATCCATGTTGTTGCAAATAGTAACATGGCTGAATAATATTTCACTGTACATGCCACATTTTCTTTATCCATTCATCTGTTTCCATGTCTTGACTATTGTGAATAATTATGTAGTTAACATGGAAGTACAAATATTTGAGATAGTGATTTTGGATATATGCCCGAAAGTGGAATACTGGATCATATTTTTAGTTTTTTTAGGCACCTCCATCTGTTTTCCACAGTGACTATACCAATTTACATTATCATCAACCGTGCAAAAGGGTTTCCTTTCCTCCATAACTTTACCAAAACTTGTCTTTTATATGATGGCTGTTTGAACAGATGTGAGGTGATTTTCATTGTGGTTTTGATTTGCATTTTCCTGATTATTAGTAATATGGAATATCTTTTTATCACCATTTGGTCATTTTCATGTCTTTGGAAAAATGTTTATTTTGTTCTTTGGCCCATATTTAATCATATTATTTTTTGCTATTGAGTTGTATAAATTCCTTATTTTTTTATATTAACCCCTTATTAGATATATGATTTAAAAGTATTTTCTCCTATTCTATAGGTTGTCTTTTCATTTTATTGTTTCTTTTGCTGTACAGAAGCTTTTTAGTTTGATGTTGTCTCAGTTATTTTTGCTTTTGTTTCTTGCATAGTATGGCATTTAAAGTGGAAATAATTAAATTTTAATTGGAAATAACAATTGTTAGAAAGGATGTGGAAGATTGGAACATTTGTGCCTTGCTGGTGAGAATGTAAGAAGTGTCAGAGCAATCAGGAGTGGAATATACTGTAGAGTCTTTTGCCCAAGACCTTACCTCTAATGGTTAGATTCCTTCTGGGTACCTGAGTACACTCAGTCTTGGGGTTAAAAGAATCCAAACCATTCCACAGTTCTGCTTATTTTCTCTTCTTGTCTTATCTCTCTGCCTTGACAAAGTCTGATTCGCTTCACAAATCTGGCTGGCTTGCAAGTTTCTCCTGAATTTACAAACTCAACTTATTCTTCTAAATGACTTTCCTCTCCTATACTATATTTTTCTCTTCTGATAAATTCTTCCCAATCAAAAGCTACTAAAATTCTTATTCCAGTATACTTCCACCCTTCATTTGATTAGATCCTAGTAGAAATGGTTATACTCTTCCCTGGGTTTAAGGGTCTTGTCTAGTGACTTTGGCATACCAGATTTCTAACTCTTAAAGTATACAGTGCACAGCAGAAGGAATGATTAGGATTAACATTCTTCTGCCCTAGGTTTATCCATTGTCATGTGTTTTTAATTAACTATGTCTTTTGCAAACTTTACATTACACGACACTACTTTCTTAAACTGCATCCAAAAAAGATTTACTTAATGAAGTTTTAAAAGGTGCAATGAGGTGGTTTTATAATATGGGAAAATTTCATAACACAGAGCCATGTTCTATAGAGGAAAGAACATTACACATGGTCAGGAGTGCTAAATTCCAATACTGGATCTTTCACTAAATGGTCATGTGAGCAAAGGCAAATTATTGAATTTCTGTAGATCCAGGTGTCCTCATTCGTAAAATGAAGCAGTTAGACACAATGAATTCTGGAATTTAAGGAACATGAAGATAGATAATGTTAAAAGGATGTTCCAATATATATGATTGAAGGACAGCAGTAGGGATAGGTAGAAAGCATAAAATGAAATGGGTTAAGCCCAGCAAATAAAAATGAAGAAAGTAATGAGGAGGCAGAATCTGCTGCCAGAAGAAAATGTCTGTAAGCAGGAAGAACAAATTATTCTCTCCAAGGGTAGATTCATACAAAAACACATCTTGGTAGCCACCAGGCCTGTGGAGATAACTGCTGAACTGATGGTCATATGGAAGTTGAAAGGCAGATTTTGTGTCTTAAAAAAGGAAAAAAATTTAAATTCAAACATTAGCTAATAACAGATTGGAAAACCTTTAGACAGATCTTTTTTGTTTCTTTGTTGTTTTTTCTCTGCCCTTCTTATGCATTTCTGTGTCCAAGATTAAAAACTGGGGTTTAAATAGGATAATGTTACAGAATTAGAAATTCCTAGAAATGTTTCTGCTGGTGTCCTCAAAATGGAAGTTTTCTATATGAAAAGGGCAACTTGAAACTTTTACACTGTAATTTTCCATTTTTATTCCCATCTAATATAGCCTAATCTTTTGAGCAGAAATATAATATATAAAAATCTATAGAACATGTGACCTGTCTACACTGTAGAATTTAAGATAAAAAATTTATCTTCTTCCCATTACTTCCCATGGAATAGGTATTGACATTTGTTGGATGTATTCTTAAATGATAAAATTTGCTTCATTATATACACTGAGTGGCCAGATTATTATGATCTCTCAACACATAATAATCTGGCCACTCAGTGTGTGTATATATATTAGAGGCCCAGTGCATGAATTCATGAATGGGTCTGGCCAGCCTGGCCAAGGAGAGGGGACATGGGTGGTTGGCCGGCCTGCCTGCTAGTTGAACTCCTGGTCAAGGGGACAATTTGCATATTAGCCTTTTATTATATAGGATATACACTGAGTGGCCAGATTATTATGTGTTCAGAGATCATAGTAATCTGGCCATTCAGTGTTCGTTGCTATTTAAGTAGGGCATTTAACTCAATAACACTATTGGGAAAAGAAAAGGAAGGAAAAGATAAAGTGAAAGAGAAATCTCAGAATACTGGTGCAGTGATGTGGATAGGCAGGGAGTGAAACAATGGCAAGGGCATAAAAGAAGATGTAAGTTATTGGTAATGTTTAGGTTAGGTGGTAGATTGTGATTGTATGCTAAAAAAAAAAACCCACAAAAGATAGAAGTGGGTGCAGAAGCGTGCTAGGCAAGTCGAGGATCATGAATAGAATGGGGATATTGAAATAAATAATTCCTATACAGTATTATGGGAAAATATTCTTAGAAAATGGACTGGATCCAAATATATCTTGAACCAATAAATTGCATAATTCAAGTTGTGTTTTAATTTAATTTCATAAATATGTATTGAGCCTTACCATTGATAATCCACTTGTAAAGTGATTAATACTGGTTTAGTATTATGGAAGCAGGAAAGGTGAGGAAGATACATTGTCAATGACTAACAGGAGAGAGTTAAGTAGTCTATTGGAAATGGATGGTAAAATGTAGGGTGGAATGAAAGTTGACCCTGGAATTTTGCCTGACTAGGTGGTAGAATTAAATAAATAAAAAACAGGAAAGATGACATAGAGCTCATCTTGAGTTTATCATAGGAATTCACTGTAACATGTTGTGTTGGCTTGCCTTTAATATACCTGATTTTCCGTTGGGGAGAGGGGTGACAGTTGTCAAGAGACTTAAGTTTGCTGTAAGAGGAGAATGAAAATTTCTTCCACAGGTAAATGAGCTTTTGGTTAGTCCTTGGTTTTTTTGTTTATATCTTTCAGCTAAATTACACATCGAATTTCCAAAGCCACACCCTGGTCAGGAAGTGAGGTTGTCTTCAAAACAGTTTCAGAAATACATAGAATTGGTTGTATCTGAACTCAGGGGCAATGAAGATCAAGTTCTGGAAAGCCTTGTGGAGTTTCTGATGACCAGCTTAGAAAGAAGCCATTTTGAGGTTCTGAGGAACGGTGCGAGACGGAAGTGGCTGCACCATATCCAACATGCTGCAGAAACAAGTGGAGTATCTTTGGAGCCCGTGTATACTGCGACCTTTAGGGCCCTCACACAGGTATGTTTTCTAAAATGACACATGCAAAGAAAAACTTCCTCACAGTAGGTGATATTCAATGGATGTAAAGTAGGAGCACACTAAATTCTCTTAAAATTTCCTGGGTATTGCGATAGATTTTTTTTCTTCCTCTCTCTCTTTTTAATACATTACAATGACCTAAAGCCTAGGGAAGATGCAATTGGGATGACTGCAGGTTGGCAAGGCAGATTCAGAGAAGAAACGTACAAAAGACAGAATTATGTCTTAGGATTTCTAATTTCATTTGTGCTGAGACTCAAAAAAAACCTAGAACAGAAAATAGACTGATATAAAAAAAATACCAATAGGGAGATTGGAAGGAGATCATACTATATCTCCCTCACATGATGTTTTGAGAATCAGTTCAAAAAAGAGCTATTTAAAACATAAAGTTATTATAAAGTGGAATCCAACACCACACAATCTATACTATAATAAAAGCCTAGGTAGTCCTCGTGCCCTCATACAACACCCTCACATCATCACAAGATGGCCACCACAAGATGGCAGCCACAAAATGGCAGGCAGAGGAGGACAGTTGGGGGTGATCAGGCTGGCAGGGGAGTGGTTAGGGGCAATCAGGCAGGCAGGTGAGCAGTTAGGAGCCAGCAGTCCCAGATTGTGAGAGGGATATCCAACTGCCCATTTAGGCCCAATCCCACAGGGATCTGCAGGAGTGGGCCTAAACCAGCAGTCAGACACCCCTTGAGGGATCCCGGATTGGAGAGGGTGCAGGCTGGACTGAGGAACACCACCACCGTGCATGAACTTCAGGCACCAAGCCTCTAGTTTTCATAACACTGCCTAGAAACAAGCTGAGACTATTACAAAATCATGTCACTTAAAACACATGACCATCATGGACCACGTCCACAGCTTTGCCACCTCGAAACTTCCAGCTTGCTGCTCCTCCCAAATAGAAATAATAACATGGCTATCTTCTACATATATCACAGATTCCTTTGATCCAGGGAACTTTGTCATTTGACTCAGCTAAATAGCAACACTTGATTATTGGAATCATGTCCTGAATGGCTGAAGTTTCTAATGTAGTTTGAAATGGTGTGACTAGGAACAGGAGACCAATTAAAAAAAAAGAGCTATTACTCCAACTTGCTTCAAAGATCTATAGTATCACAAGAGAAACCTCACTATATTTTTGTGACTCTATAGATTTTTATGTAGAAAGGGAGAAATAAAGGCAGAAAAAAAGGAATGAAAAGCAAACCTAAATATATAGAAAGATGAGACAAATATCAAGGAAAGTATCTCTCATGTCCCCCAACTTATGGATGTGTTCAGTATATGTATTAACACATCATATTCTTGGTAACATATTAAATTTTAGATATAGAGAATTTTCAGTTCTTTCAATGGAAATAGTAATTGCATAAAGTCTTCAATCTGAGGCCCCCCAAAAATCATTTCCTAAAATGACATAAATCAAATGTCATAGCCAATCTTGGTTAATAATTACTTCAGAAAATTTTTTCCACATTCACATAATAGTATTGTAGATTAAGGTTAAGAAATATGAGTAAAATGAAGCCATTTCTTGTTGCAGCTCTCTAAAATTAACTGAAGCTCAAACAACCCGACTATAGCTCAAAGGGATATAAGTTTTTTCAAATATGTATATTGGTTTGAGAGAGGGAGAGAGAAAGAAAACTGCTTTTTTGTTGTTCCACTTATTTATTCACTGGCTGATTCTTGCATGTGCACTGACCATGGGTTGACCTTGGCATATCAGGACAACACTCTAACCCAAGCATGTCAAATTCGCTTGCAGCCCACAGACTATGAGTTTGACATTCTTGCCTGAGCTACCTGACCAGGGCCAAAGGGATCCAAGTAGAGGGGGAGAGGAATATATATATATATATATATATATATATATATATATATATATATATATATATATATATATATATAGAGAGAGAGAGAGAGAGAGAGAGAGAGAGAGAGAGAGAGACTTCAGAGAGAAGGAGGGAGAGGAGAAAAGCAATGAGAGAGCAAATCATTGATCGGCTGCCCTCTGCATACCCCACAGTGAGGATAGAGCCTGCAACCCCAGCATGAGCCCTGACTCATATGTCAATACTCAACCACTGAGTCATGCCAGCCAGGTGGGATCCAAGTTTTAAACCTCTACATTTGAATGGGCTTTGAGATTTATTTATTTATTTTTAGTAAACCAGTCTAATTGGCATAAAGTCAATCCATTACACTCACTAAAACTCAGGTTCGAGGGACAGCTATGGAGCCAGTGTACACTTTTCTTCATTGCCCATAAATAGTAATATCTTCATTATTTATTCATGAAGGTGAAATTATTGGGTCAAAGGCACAAACTGGCTAATGAAGGAAGATGTGATTAAGAGAATAGCTACTGGCAAATACATGATCAACAACATTTTGCCATAGGATGCTCAAGTCCATGGAAATAAGAAGATCAGTGCTCACATTTCCCTCTTAGAAGAAAACCGACTACTGCCTAACAGAGGGGCTGTTCTGTTAAGGAATGTAGCTTGTACTTTAGATGATGCTCCATTTGTACTGAACAAAGTGCTCTACAGGGACATGAAGGGAATTAGGTAAGAATTTCTTGGAAAAGTTGATTTTACCTTCTTTAAAAAAATATGTTTTGATTTTTAGAGAGAGGAAGGGAGATGTATATATAGAAACATTGACGAGAGAGGAACATCGTTATCCATCGGCTGCCTCCTGCATGCCCCCTACTGGGGATCGAGTCCACACCTCAGGCATGTGCCCTAACCAAGAATCCAAACAGGGACCTCTTGGTTCCTGGGTTGATGCTCATCTGCTGAGCCATATGAGCCAAGTGATTTCACCCTTTTTAAAAAAAAACAATTTCCTTTCTGAAATAAGTTAGCATTGAAATCCTAGAGAGAAATGCCTCAGGTCACCAAAGCTTCTAAAGTTGAGATGATTCGTTTCCAGTCTCAGGTGATTTCACTTGATTGTTTCTAGAGTTTACCTTAGGCTAGGGGTGTCGAACTCAATCAGAGAAGGGGCCAAAATCTAAAATCCAGCCTAAATCGCGGGCTGAATGGTTTACTGAACAGTCATAAACTGTCATTTTGATGGAAACGCAGCGGAGTGCAGTGATGACAGCGTGGTGCGGGCCACATTGCAAGGCCTGGCGGGACGGATTTGGCCCGAGGGCCTTGTGTTTGACACATGTGCCTTAGGCAATGATTGGCCATGTAGGGATTCTGCTTTACAATATCAGCCCAATTATTTCTGCCTTATCTTTAAAGTATGTCTACTGTGTCCTGGTTATGTATGTTTTCTCTGTTACGATCTAATCTTTCTTTCAAGTCAGACTCTCCAGACTGGTAATTTTATGAGTCCACTTCTCTGACATGTAATGCCAATGATTATGAATGGAGAGTTGATCTAGTTTCTTACATGGTTTAACCTAAAGCTCCTCCTGTGCCTTTCTTCCATCCTCACATTCCTATCTCTCAGCTTTACAGTAATAGATAAAGGGAAGCCAGTACATGTCCCTCAAGTTCAGCACCACGGGAACATTTTCTTCTGGAACAATTCCCGCAAGGAGAATGATCAAAATGGATCATTCCTGGCTCTGCCTCTTCAGAATGCATATATGAGGATCTTTGGGGTCCTGGCTGTTGACACACTAAGAGATCCCCAGAAAATAAACATCTTCTTGCCTCATGAGATCAAATTCTATCAGGTAAGTCAGAGAAGAATTCGTCCTTAGCAATGGTAGGATGGCTTTTCCTTTTATACATAAAAAAGAAAAAGCAAAACCTGAAACTAGCTGCAGGTAGAGCTATATATGTAGAGTGGGTTGTCATATGGTTCCAGTTCCCTGTGTGTATGTGTCAGTATTTTGAGAGGTTCTGCATTACACATGGAAGAATTGTCAGCTTCAGTTGCACAACTATGCCTCAGAATCTCTGGGAAGATTATTAATGTGTCCCTTGCACTGAACCAAAATCCAACTATTAGGCCACTAAGACCACATAGTCGGACTGAACTTTTAGAAAGAAGATTTATTTTTTTATTAGTAGAGGTACCTAGAAATCCTTTGCTCTTCAACAAATGGTACTTAATATGATATGTGACCCCATAGCTCCTGATATCAGTGTTATAATCTTTGAGGATAAAGAATGAAGAAAAATGCTTAAGTTTTAGGCACTTTTAAAACTATACAATAACTGGATCATTTCTACAAACATTTAAATTTAATTTTATGAATGGAAATTGCAATGGAGGAAGATTGAAAGCCTTTATGGAGGCAATGGGCACACTATAAAACCTTTATAGTGGCAATCAGGAACTTGCTCTGCCCTTATCATTTGTTTCCCTGTAAGCCTCTGGCTCTTCAAATTTATTTACCATTATTTTAAAATTTCTCTTCTCACTTACTGGGTAACTGGAAAGTGGTAGAATCTTTTTTCTCTGGACATCTTTTACATAATAAGATTCATTCTCATCTGACATAATGATATGAAGATATTTAGAAGCAAAATGGAGGAGTATGGAGTTATCAGGAGGTGAAATAATACACAGCCTTGTTAGAGAACATGTCAAAATCAATTATAAATAGATAATAAGGACTTTCTAGTTATAAGTCAATTATAACTAGAAAGTCCTTGGAGGTAAAGCCTCCTGTATTATTATCTTAGGTGCCTTGGGATCTAAAATAAAGTACATATATACATATTTAAACCTATTTTTATCGATTTCAGAGAGGAGGAGGGAGGGAAAGATAGAAACATCTATGATAAAAGAGAATAATTGATTAGCTGCCTCCTGCATGCCCCACACTAGAGATTGAGCCCACAACCCAGGCATGTGCCCTGACTGGGAATCAAACTGTGACCTCCTGGTTCATAGGTCAACGCTTAACCATTGAACTATGCCAGCCAGGCATATATATTTTTTGATATGTTTTTATTTATTTCAGAAAGAGAAAGGGAAAGGAAGAGAGAGAAAGAAACATCAATGATGAGAGAGACTCCAGCCTGAAACCCAAGCATGTGCCCTGACTGGGAATCATCCGTGACCTCCTAGTTCATGGGTTGACGCTCAACCACTGAGCCACACCATCTGGGCTACATATATTTTTGAAGACTTTGTGGTTCCTAGAATTTCTTGACAATAAGACCACAGATGAGTATTAAGGACTTCCCATTGCTTCTCTATGGAACAGTATCATTTTGTGCCCATAAGAAGATTGTGCATGTTGCAAGCTTTCGAACTCAGAACATCCTGTTCTGCTGACCTGATGACAGTAGCCATGTAAAGATACAGACATTAATATTGTATCAGATCAGGGCACTCCTATCCATCTGCTCAAGGCTAGCATTCATCTTAGCTTTTAAACATTTTTTTCTCATTTCAAATTTTATTTTGTTCTTCTGATGCTATTTTCTGATTGCACATATCACAAATTTCACTGGATGATTATCAGGAAACATATAAGTTACGTAGGTCTTATGGTAGATTTCTTTTTACACATCTGATTCTTAATGATCCTTTTTTTTTTTTCCACAGTAGAAGCTAGAGGACTACCTTTTGAGAAGTAATTTGGAGGAAACAGATTATCATTAGTGAAAAAGATAATCTAATGGATACATTTCTAATTATTTTTCTATTTTAAAAAGAAAAGGCAATTAAGCTATTCTGTCTCTACAGGGTGTTGCCAATGTCTTTAGCACTGCCTATCACTATGTGCACAGCCGGGAGCACATCCTGCACGCTGTGATCACTGGCATTAGCTGGCTCTACAACATCGTACCCAACATTGACTCCATCACTACATACTTCATTGAGCCGAGCCCAGAACAGGTAGGCCAGGCTGGGCAGGGTTAGACCTTCCCAGGGTAACAGAGTTTCTAGATGTTACTGTCTTGCTGATATTTTAAAACTAGTATAATTAGTTAGCTATTAGGCTAACTGGGGACATAGTTCCCATGATACAAACTCAAACTGTCCACAGTTGAGTGGCAGGAATCCATCTCATACTGCCTTAGGCAAAAAGGAGAATTGGTTGACTCCTGTGACAGAAATGAAGAAAGGAAGACATCAGGTTAGCTTCTAGGATGACCAGATCCAGGGATTCAGTGCTATCATGGCTCGCTCATGTTCTTTCTCTCTCCAGTTCTCATGTTGCTTCCCTCTGTACCTTGACTTTGTACTTCCAGCTAAAGATGGGGTTTTCCACAAGGCAAAGTCAACTGCTTAGTAGCTTAAAAGTAATCTTTCCTTTCTATTCCAATTTAGAAAACCCAAGGAAAAAAACCTCATTTTGACATATCCTGAAACGTGCCTGGGGTAAGGGGCTTTTCTACAGTGCACTTTTCGGGAAAATAATATAAACACAGCATTTTATCACAATTATTTTAAAAATATGCTTTTGCATTTAAATAAGTCTCATATTTTGACATTTTTCTCTTGTGGAACACCTCATTCCTTAATGTACTGAGTAAGTAAAATGTCACTGTCCTTAAAACTAGAAATCATCTAAACTTTTCTGAATTTTTCCTACTTATCTGTCCCCAAAAGCTTTAATGAAAATATGAAGTCTAATTGTTCTCCATAATGAAGTATCTTCCTCCTTTCAAGGGTTCAGACTATGTTTTACGCAACATGATGGTCACAGGGCCCCAAGGTCTTACAGAAATCCACAAAAATCCCCCTATCATCTTCAGGAAGTCATGTGTCTTCAGGTATGAGAGGCATCTTCATGTCTGTTTTTGTTTGCTCGCCAGAGTATGTAGCCGGGTGTGATAGATCTGAAGACACAGCTTTTGCCTCCTATTAGTATACAATGACTCTCATTCTGATTGGGTTTTAGAGGCAGTCTCCTTACTGCATAGGTCATATTAACTCCTTTCCCCCCTCAAGTCCTTTTTAAAACAAATTTCAATGGTGTTTTATATTAAAATTGCCTGTTTTTAAAGCATGACAGTCTTCTATTTTATTTGATTTCTTGTAAATAAGGAATTAAACAAAACCCACCATGATTATGACAAATACATCCACACCACTTATCAAAATTCCTCAGCTTAATATTAGCCAACTTGTGAACAAGTATATATGTATATATATATTTTTTTAAATATATTTTATTGATTTTTTACAGAGAGGGAGGGAGAGGGATAGAGAACTAGAAACATCGATGAGAGAGAAACATCGACCAGCTGCCTCTTGCACACCCTCTGCTGGGGATGTGCTCGAAACCAATGTACATGCCCTTGACTGGAATCGAACCTGGTACCTTTCAGTCCGCAGACCGACGCTCTATCCACTGAGCCAAACCGGTTTCAGCAAACAAGTATATTTTATTTAAAGAAGACAGGCGGGGCAAAAGAGGACAGAAGTCAAAGAATGTTATTTTCAATAAGTACCCAGTTCTAGGTTACTTCAACTGCCTCTCACCTGTAGAATCCAGGAACACTATTAAACTGTGGACAAATGTAAAACATCTTTACTGAGAACACCCCAACTGCCAGAGGGGCGGACTGTTCTTCTTTTTTTAAAATATATTTTATTAATTTTTCACAGAGAGGAAGGGAGAGGGATAGAGAGCTAGAAACATTGATGAGAGAGATACTCGACCAGCTGCCTCCTGCACAACCCCCACCAGGGATGTGCCCGCAACCAATGTACATGCCCTTGACCGGAATCGAACCCGGGACCTTTCAGTCTGCAGACCAACGCTCTATCCATGAGCCAAACCAGTTTTGGCCAGACTGCTTCTTAAGGAGGGTCAGTGCAGCCAATAACCTATTTGAGCCTGAAGGCTAAGTTGATATTTAAGTATCTTATTTAATTAAATTTTAGTACCAGAATGTTAATTACGTTAAAAACTCTTTTCCACATAATTATTCCTTGTGGTGTTCAAGAGTTTTATGGGAGTCTTTGTAATACCCAGACTCATTTAATGATGCATCCGTTGAGCATGACGCATCATTACTATGGTTATAAAGTCACACAGTGGTGGGAGTAGCAAAAGAAAGACAGAATCTTACCTGTCATTATAGGATTGATATTATAAACTGTAAATGTGCTTTTTGAAGCAGTGCAAAACGCTGACATTTTTTACAAATAATCTCAAAAGAATGACATCCTAGTGTAGATGGGGAAAGAGGAAAAGAGATAGAAAGAAATGTGTCTGTACCTCGCTATGCCACTGCATTTCTGTGGAAACCTCAGGTCTCTCACTGAAGCAGATGCTGTTGATACCCAGCCCAGATCCCCCGGGTACCTTTTGCCGGCTGCTGCAAGTGCTGCTGCCAATGCCTCACACTGTTAGCTTTCTCTGGAGGAGTGCCCTTCAGAAATGGGAGCTTCTCACCAGTTATGTGAACACTATTCCCTCCTACCAGTTATGTGAACACTATTCCCTCCCATAGAGCAACGTAGAGTCAACCACTGACAAAAGACCTCATCCTTGCACCCAGGTGGGACAGGCTTTGACAGTTTGCTTCCCAGAGCTCCCCTTGGGATCCGGCTGAGGTTAGACTTTACTGTAATCATATTCTTATGTAGATTTCCTCCCTTCCCTCTCCTCCTTTCCTTAGACTAGGGGTGTCGAACTCAATCAGAGAAGGGGCCAAAGTCTAAAATCCAGCCTAAATCGCGGGCCGAATGGTTTACTGAACAGTCATAAACTGTCATTGTGATGGAAATGCAGCCGAGTGCAGTGATGACAGCGTGGTGCGGGCCACATTGCAAGGCCTGGCGGGACGGATTTGGCCCGAGGGCCTTGTGTTTGACACATGTGCCTTAGACCTTCACAGGTTTCTCCTGAGAGCATTCCCTTAATAAATCACTTCCCTGTCTCAGGTGCTGCTTCTAGAGAACCTAACACTCATCATTCCTTCATGCATTCCTCCAATAATTACTGGACAACTTGTAAACAAACAAACAAATGAATACCATTCAGATAAGTATAAGTACAGTAGACAATAAAGCAGAATAACATGATGGAGCATGACTCAGGTGCTACTACTTTAGATTACATGGCTAGGGAAGGCTTCTTTAAGAGGAGATGAGTGAGTGTGCTGAGGGAGAGCTCTGTGAAATCCAGAGATGAAGTGGTCTAGGCATATGAAATAGTAACAAGAGCTGGTGGGGTGAAGAGTAGTAGGCACAAAAGAAAGTGATTCAATATGTTTGGGTGGAATGTTATGAACTTTCCTGATTGCTGATACCCTTATGCTTATTTGGTTTTGATTCCAGGGATTTCCTTTTTAAGTGTACAGACAGTTCAGAAGTTCTTTTGGCCTCTTTCTGTGGAGAAAGCCACATAGTAATTCCACTTCGTGAGAGAACAGGAGAGGCCCTGGGGGCTCTCGATATTAACATTGGCAAGAGGAAGATGTTGTTTTATCGAGAATATAAAGATCTACAGAAAATGGTGAAGGTGACCCAAGCTGCCTGCTATGAAATACTGGACGAATTATCTGGAGAAAAAGAGAAAAATCGTGTCTTAGGTATTGTGAATGTGGTGACAGTCTAAATTTATGGGTTTAATTAGTTTTTGGTAAATCACAGGCAATGCAATGAAGGATTTTTTCTAAAATGAGTTGTTGCAATATACAGATTTTCCTCATGAAAGAAATCCCCTCATGCAGTCTTGGACTGAAGAGTATGAGCTATAAATTAGAGTAAAGGGTAAGAGATTGCATTTACTTGGCTAGAATCACATGGTTTTACAATTAGAGAGCCTCCTAAAGGCAATATAGAACTAGCACTTATTAAATGCCCCATCATGTACCAAGCACTTTAAATATGTTATTTCAACTGGTCCTGACCATAAGTCTATCATGTGAATGGTGATGCCTCATTTTATAGATGAGAAAGGTAAAGTTTAAAGGAACTAAACAACTTGCACAAATCACATGGTTAGCAAGTGGTGGAGGCTGGATTTACACTCAAGTTTGGATGCTTTTTCCATTATATTATATAGCATTAAATCATCATACCACCTAATTTTACAGATAAAGAAGTTAAAGCCCATCAAAGTAAAGGTCTGGTAGCAAGCTAGGAACAGAGACAAGACTGGAGCTCAATCCTTGGGATTCCATATCCATTAGGCTACTCTTGATACAAAACTAGTTTGGGCAGAAGGGAGGAAGAAGGAAGCATGGAAACCTTTAACTACCTAGAAAAGAGTGAATGGAAAGAGAAGAGTAACACGTGTATAATTAAGCTAACAGTTTTCTAGCCATTACATAGGGTGAGGTGGGATATGAAGAAAGAAGCAAGAAGAAAATTCAAGTCTTCTGAGTGTTCACTATGTTTAAAACCAAGACTAAACACTTTTTCATACATCAACTTTTTTTTTTCATGCTTCATTTCTTTAATCATGTGGTAACAAAGATAACAGACTTACAAATATCATTTCAATGTGGACTTTATTGTTTAAAGTATTACATGTCTCCTTTTTCCCACTTTAACCCTTCCCAAACCACTCCTACCAACCAGGACATATCCCCACTGCCCCAGTGTCGGTGTCTATTGGTTATGCTTATACTAGAATGCATGCATACAAGTCGTTTGGTGGATCTCTCACTCCCCACCCCCTTCTCTGCCTTCCCTCTGAGGTTTGATTGTATGTTTGTTGCTTCATTGTCTCTGGATCTGTTTTTGATCATCAGTTTATATTGTTCATTATATTGCACAAACGAGTAAGATCATGTGATATTTATCTTTCTCTGACTGGCTTATTTCACTTAGCATAATGCTCTCCAGTTCCATCCATGCTGTTGTGAATGGTAAGAGGTCTTCCTTTTTTTTAACGCAGCATAGTATTCCATTGTGTAGATGTACCATGATTTTCCAATCCACTCTTCTGCTAATGGGCACTTAGGCTTTTTCAAAATCTTAGCTATTGTAATTATACTGCTATGAACATAGGGATGCATATATCCTTTCTGATTGGTGTTTCTGATTTTTTGGGATATATTCCTGCAAGGGGGATTACTGGATCAAATAAGAGTTCCATTTTTAATTTTTTGAGGCAACTCTATACTGTTTTCCACAATGACTGCACCAGTCTGCATTCCCACAGCAGTGCACGAGGCTTCCTTTTTCTCCATATCCTCGCCAGTACTTGTTGTTTGTTGACTTATTGATAACAGCCATTCTGACAGGTGTGAGATGGTATCCCATTGTCATTTTGATTTGCATACCTCGGATAATTAGTGACTTTGAGCATGTTTTCATATGTCTCTTGGCGTTCCTTCTGTCTTCTTTCAAAAAGTGTCTACTACTTAGATCCTTTGCCCATTTCTTAATTGGATTGTTAATCTTCCTTTTGTTGAGTTGTATGAGTTCCTTGTAAATTTTAGAGATTAAACCTTATTAGAGATAACACTGGCAAATATGTTCGCCTATGCAGTGGGCTTTCTTGTTGTTTTGTTGATGGTTTCTTTTGCTGTGCAGAAGCTTTTTATTTTGATGTAATCCATTTGTTTATTTTCTCTTTGTTTTCCATTGCCCTAAGAGCAATATCAGTGAAGAAGTTCCTTTAGCATATATCTGAGATTTTGCTGCCTGTGGATTCCTCCAGTATTTTTACAGTTTTCCATCTTATGTTTAAGTCCTTTATCCATTTTGAGTTTATTTTTGTGTATGGTGTAAGTTGGTGGTCTAGTTCCATTTTTTTTTTTTTTTGCAAGTATCTGTCCAATTTTCCCAAAGCCATTTATTGAAGAGGCTGTCTTGACTCCATTGTATGTCCATGCCTCCTTGGTTGAATATTAATTGAGCACAGTGGTTTGGGTAGATTTCTGGGTTCTCTATTCTATTCCATTGATCTATATGTCTGTTCTTATGCCAGTACTAGGCTGTTTTGAGAACAGCTTTGTAATACAGCTTGATATCTGGTATTGAGATCTCACCTACTTAGTTCTTCTTTCTCAGGATTGCTGCAGCTATTCAGGGTCTTTTTTATTCCAGATGAATTTTTGGAGAGTTCATTCTAGGTCTGTGAAATATGCCATTGGCATTTTAATGGGGATTGTATTGAATCTATAGATTGCTTTGGGTAGTATGGACATTTTGATGATTTTGATTCTACCAATCCATAAACACAGTATGTTCTTCCATCTATTTATATCTTCCTATATCTCTTTTTTCAGTGTCCTGTAGTTTTTTGCATATAGGTTTTTTACCTATTTTTTAAATTGAATTTATTGAGGTGGCATTGGTTAACAAAATGATACAGGTTTCAGGTGCACAATTCTACAACACATGATCTGTACAGTGTTTGTTCACCACCCCAAGTCAAGTTTCCATCCATCACCATTTAATCCCCGGTACTCTCCTCCACTCCTCCCTGTAATCACCAAACTGTTGTTCATGTCCATGGGGTGTTTATTTCTCTTAAAACTTTTTTTTTTAATTTCTTTATTGATTATAGTGTCACATAATTGTCCTCATCCCCCCCCATTCCCATCCCAAACCCCTCCCCATGTATGCCCACCCCTGCTGTCCATGACCTCTGGTTAGGCTTATATGCATGCACACAAGTCCTTTGGTTGATATCTTCCCTTTGCCCCAACCCTTCCCTACCTTCCTTCTGAGGCCTGACAGTCTGATTGCTGCTTCTCTGTCTCCAGGTCTGTTTCTGTTCATCAATTTATGTCGTTCGTTATTTCCCCTAGATGCCTTAGATCATGTGATACAAGGAATTCCCTTATAAGGACTGAGACAAGCCATAAGTTATGCTGAGAGCAAATGAATCAGTCTGTAGTGAGTTCCTTTCTGGGCTAACAGTTCTTTTGAATCCCTATTTCAATGTCAAACAGTTCCTTATGTGTACATGTCAGCAATGGTATTTCAGATCTGGTTGTTTGACAAATGGTACTGATGCAGTTCCAACCATCTCTGGTTTGGTCCTGGGCATCCTTCAGTGACACACAGCTCCTGTCTGCTAGTATGGCAAGGTGTTGTCAGCGTCTTCCATCTCTGGACTGATTCTCTTCTGTCTTCATGTGTGGGGCACTCCTGTCAATTCCTCTCTGTTGCAGGAATCCACATGGTTCTTTTACCTCTTTAGTTAAGTTTATTCCTACGTATCTTAATTTTTTTTGGTACAATGGTAAATGGAATTGCTTTTTTAGTCTCTCTTTCTGAAACTTCACTATTGGTGTATAGTAATGCCATAGATTTCTTGGCGTTAATTTTGTATCCTGCTATCTTGCTGAATTCATTTATTAAGTCTAATATTTTTTTATGGAGTCTTTAGGATTTTCTATGTACAGTATCATGTCATCTGCGAATAAGGTCAGTTTTGTTTCTTCTTTTCCAATTTGGATGCCTTTTATTTCTTCTTCTTGTCTGATAGCAATGGCTAGTCCTTCCAGTACTATGTTGAACAGGAGGGCATCCCTGTCTTGTTCCTGTTCTTAGAAGAAATGGTTTTAGTTTTTGTCCATTGAGTGTGATGCTGGCTGTGGGTTTATCGTATATGGCTTTTATGTTGTAGAGGTATGATCCTGCTATTCCCACCTTGCTGAGAGTTTTTATCAAGAAAGGGTGTTGGATTTTGTCAAATGCTTTTTCTGTGGTCAATTGACTATGATATGACTATGTGATTCTTCAATTTGTTTATGTGATACATCACATTTATTGACTTGCAGATATTGTACCATCCTTGCATCCCTGGTATAAATCCTGCGTGGTCATGGCGTATGATCTTTCTGATGTACTGCTGGGTCTGATTTGCTAGAATTTTGTTGAGGATTTTGGCATCTATGTTCATGAGGGATATTGGCCTTTAATTCTCTTTCATTGTGTTGTCTTTATCTGTTTTTGGTATTAGGGTGATGCTAGCTTCATAAAATGAGTTTGGAAGCGTTCTCTCCTCTTGAATTTTTTGGAATAGTCTAAGGATAGGTTTGAGTTCTCCCTTGAATGTTTGGTATAACTCTCCTGTGAAGCCGTCTGGGCCTGGGCTTTTGTTTGCTGGAAGCTTTTGATGACTGTTTCAATTTATTCCATAGTTATTGGCCTATTGAGATTTTAGAATCTTCCTTATTGAGTTTTGGAAGGTTGTATTTTTCTAGGAACGTGTCCATTTCCTCCAGGTTGTCTAGTTTGTTGGAATAGAGTTGTTCATAATATTTTTTAACAAATCCTTTGTATTTCTGTAGAGTCTTGTTATTTTGCCTCTATCATTTCTGATTTTGTTTGAGTTCTCTATCTTTGCTTCTTTGTGAGCCTGGCTAAAGGTTCATCAATCTTGTTTATCCTTTCAAAGAATCAGCTCTTGTTTTCACTGATTTTTTGTATTGTTGTAGGGTTTTTTGTTTCTGTTTTTTGTCTCTATGTCATTTATTTCTACTTTAATCTTTATTATTCCCTTCCTTCTGCTCACTCTGGGCTTTTCTTGTTGCTCTTTTCTAATTTTTTGAGTTGTAGCATTAGATAATTTACTACCATTTTTTTCTTGTTTTTTGAGGTAGGCCTATAGAGCTATAGGACTGCTTTCATTGTGTCCCATAGGGTTTTTTTTGTTGTTGTTTTTTAAATATATTTTATTGATTTTTTACAGAGAGGAAGGAAGAGGGAGAGAGAGCTACAGTAGAAACGTCGATGAGAGAGAAACATTGGCCAGCTGCCTCTTGCACTCCCCCTACCGGGAATGTGCCTGCAACCAATGTACATGCCCTTGACCGGAATCAAACCTGGGACCTTTCAGTCTGCAGACTGACGCTCTATCCACTGAGCCAAACCGGTTTCAGCAATTGTGTTCCATAGGTTTTGGATTGTGTTTTCATTTTCATTTGTTACCAGGATGCTTTTTTATTTCTTCTTTGATCTCTTTGGTAATGGTAACCCAATCATTGTTTAATAGCATGCTATTTAGCCTCCAAGTGTTTTTATTTTGTTTCTTTTTTTTTGTAGTTAATTTCTAATTTTATGCCATTGTGATCTGAGAAGATGCTTGATATGATTTCTATCTTCTTGAATTTGAAGAGACTTTACCTGTGTCCCAATATATGGTCATTCTTTGAAAAGTTCCTGTGTGCACTTGAGAAGAATGTATATTCCATAGCTTTGGGGTACAATGTTCTGAAGATGTCAATTAATTCCATCTGATCTAGTGAGTCATTTAGGATTGCTGTTTCTTTGCTGATTTTTTGTTTAGAGGATTTATCCAGTGGTGTCAATGGGATATTAAAGTCCCCTACTATGATTGTATTGGTGTCAGTCTCTCCTTTGATATCTTCCAGAAGTGTTTTTATGTATTTGGGTACTCCTTTATTGGGTGCATATATGTTTACTAGACTTGATATCCTCTTGTTGAATTGCTGCCTTTAGTATTATGAAGTGGCCCTTGTTATCACTTGTTATGGCCTTCACTTTGTGGTCTATTTTGTCAGATATAAGTATTGTTACCCCAGGTTGTTTTTTTCTTTCATTTCCATTTGCCTAAAAAACTTTTTTTCATCCCTTCACTATCCGTCTATGTGAGTCCTTTATTCTGAGGTGGGTCTCTTGTAGACAGCAAATATATGGGTCATGTTTTCTTATCCATTCAGCTGCCCTATGTGTTTTGATTGGAGCATTTAATTCATTTACATTGAAGGCTATTATTGATAGGTACTTGTCACCATTTTTATTCTTTATGCCTGTGTTCCTTCTTCCCTTTCTATTTCTTCTTTTTACATAAGTCCCTTTAGCATTTCTTGCATTGCTGGCTTGGTGGTAATAAACTCCCTTAGCCCTTTTTTATCTGTGAAGCTCCTGATTTCACTTCAATTTTGAATGATAGCCTTGTTGGGTATAGTATTTTTATATTTATTCCCTTGCTTTGCATCACTTTGTATTTTTAATTCCATTCCGTTCTGGCCTGATTATATCAACTCATTTAATGTCCGCAGCTTATTAGAGAAGTACAAATCAACCTCATTCTCACAGAAAAGGAAGAGAAGGTTCAGAGAGAAGAGAATAAGGGGGAGAGTAGATATTCAAACTAAGATCTAATGTCAAAACATGAGTTTCCTTTCCTCAAAGCCTCTTCCTGTGAGTTTTACCAGGTGTAATTTCATTTCTGCCTTTTGATTTCATGACTAGAAAAACTAAGATTGTTTAAAACCATATATATATTTTTTTAAAGCATTATTATATTATGCTGATAATCCTCTGAAATATATATGTACTGAACAACCATGTGGGATATCATTCTATTATTCCAGAGATTGAAAATACGGGAGAAGTTCAGCAGGCAGGAGTTCTCTTCTTCCGAATCATGCTACAAGAGCTGCAGAAAAGCCTTAAGCAGCTTACCTCCAAGGACTTTGTATCACTGTTGCTCTTTGATTACCGTACTGTACTACAGTCAAAATCTCTGACAGCCAGCCAGTTACAGCAGTTGGAAGCCAATGCAAAACTAATACCTGACATCGTGACAGCAGTTATCTTGTTTATTCATCCAGAATTGGAATCATCACAGGATTTAGAAATGTGGGATGAATGTAAACTGGTAGGTTCTTTTTAAGTATTCTTTTTATTGAAAAATAACCCACACAAGTTTAGGCATGCAAATCATAATTGCACAAATCTTAAGTGTACAAATGCAAGAATTTTTACACAATGAACATTTGTAACCACCTAGATTAAGAAACAGGTCATTAGGGGCATTTCAAAAGCCCTCCTTTGTACTCTTTCTCATAACCACCTCCCCCCCCCCCCCCCCCCACACACACACAGCGAGGGTGACCAGAAGCCTGACTTCTAATACTATACGTTGGTTCTTGCCTATTTTCAAATTTATATAAATGAAATTATGCAAACTGGTGAATTGGGTACTCTAATTCCACTTGCTGGTGATCCCATAACTTTTGTTCTTTGTTCACAGAACTTTAACAAACAGTTAGTTGATAGTATCTGTGTCTTTGATCCAACTGCTAAAGATGTGGAATTTAATTTAAACCTCATTGGTAACTATATCAAAGGTAAATTTCTATTTAATTATGGTCTAAATTATACTAACAAGAATAAAACACAGTTGCAAGAGATATCTGAATAAAGCAAGTAGCTCACAAATTCAATTTTTAGGAAGAAATAGTTCTGAATATAGTCTTCTAAAAGGAGGGACACTGGCTCTAATCTATGCATTCTTCGAAGTGACTGCCTCTGCCACCCATGTGAGAATTCAGAAGCACATCTGTATCCCACTCACTGACTACATGTGCATTATTCATTAAAAAACAAAAGTGAATAGGGGCTACAGAGAAGATAGGCAACAAATACATTTGGCCAAAAGGCTATTATCTTTAGTCTCAATGAAGAACCAAATAAAATAATAGATCACGAATCTATACACTTGTATTGCAGCCTTTTTGGAGAAGAATCAGCAGGAATCTAGAGCAGTGAGGCGCCCAGGCTGGAGAAAGTAATGAGCTCTTTGGCCACAGAGAATGTGAGAGTAAATATTCAGAGGCAGGCACAAGTAGGTCTATAGTTGTTCATATGGAAAAATACAATAATTACAATAAAAATACAAGAATCAACCCTGTGCATCATGTACTCACAACTGTAAACCTACTTTTGCCCCATGTTGCACACATGCAAGCACACATTCCTCCATGGTGCGCATTACTCAAATGGAGACCTCAGGTCATTTATGTGAATGGAACAGTAAGGAATAAATTTAAGGTTTGTTCCTTTTTGTTACGCACGAAAAACTAGCATTAGCTGGGAAAATGACTCTGTAGAAATTGTTCAGTAAACCTGTCCCTCCCCCTTCTCTTCTCCTCATCTACTTTCTGTGGAAACTAGATCAAGTCAGAAGAGTTTCTGCACTTCTGTGATACCTTGTATTAGGCCAAGAGACTCAGAACCAGAGAGAGTCCTGGGGCGAGAGGAATGAAAGGACAACTCAGAGGAAGACAACCACAATCCTCAGGGTGTCGGTGGCAGTGGACACATCTAGTACAAGGGGAGCACATAGCAGTGAGCTGGGGCGCATGTTTGAGAAGGCAGTCATCTGGCACAGGAAAACAAGATACTCCCAGAAGTTTGAGATTGCTAGAAAATAAGAGAAAACACAAGATTCAAATAAAAGTTACCACGAATTAGTGGGGACTATGAGTGACGTGAGTAAAGATTAGAATTCATATTGGAAAGGGCCTCATGGGTCTGGGCTGATTCAGGAGAGCCTCTGGATTCACAAGTGATTCAAGGGAAACCATAATGGTACCAACAATACAATGAATACCTGTTCATTGTATACATGTATAACCTAGGTCTACATTTGTTCACTGTTCCCTGGGGATTTAATCCTGAAGAAATGTTTTCTATGTCAGTGCCTCATTGGTTCTCTTCCCTTTGGAGTAGATTCAGTTCCCATTCATGAGCCCCAGAACCCCCTGCCCTCCATGTGTGACCAGTTTGTCAAATTGACTTTCTCCTTGAGCCCTGAATCACTTTGGTCCCCATCCACATTGCTAAACTATTGGCCTAGATCCAGCCCTGCTGCCAGGGTCACTTGTGTCCTCACAGACTGATGCTCACCTTCTTGGGTGAGGACGCAGGCTCCCATCACTGTCAAATCCAGTTCCTCTGTGAGATGGGATCTGGAAACGAGGAGCAGGCCCCTCCGCTCTCTACCTTGCAGATGTATTCAGGAATTGGCTCTCAGCCCTTAATAAGCCTATTCCCAGACAAAGGCATCTTCTGTGGAATTATATCAATGTTTCAAGGGAATCTCTTCAGGCCCACCTCCGATTTGCATATCAGAACTACCTCCTTATCCATATAACCCCTTTGTTTCAGAAAACATGACAATTTCTGTTTGCTCGGCTTGCTGCCACTTTGACCTGTGTTAGCTAATTCCGGAGCACCCTTGATCTCCAATGATCCCCACCACTTTCTCTTCTCCCAGTGTCCTCAGGTGGCAGGAATACTACCTGCAGTTAACAATGCTGGGTTCAGCCAGAAACCAATATTCTCTAGGCTACCCTACCACCACCACCAGGCCTTCAGCATTATCATCATAGCCTCTGCAGCAATCAAGACAGTTAGTTCATCAGCCACCCAGATACCTCTCTCCTTCAGATGCAACTGTATTCTAAGCTCCACATTTGGGGAAAGAAAGCAGAACTCTTTGGGGCCCCTTCAGATATTGGATTCTATTGCTCGGTTTATTTGAACCTTCTATCAGCATTAAGGCACCTACTCAACAACCCTAAGCAGCATGGAATGCTAATAATAATATTAGGTAGGGACTGTTAGCATAGCTCCTAACTCACCAAGCCTTCCAACTAATCGTTTTGCCAACAAGACAGAATTAGGGCTGATTATGTACCCACACTTTCTTAGGGCTTCTGCTGTCAACTCTTATTTTTACTAAGATAATGACATAACATTCTATTAGTTTAAGGTGTACAACTAATATGTGTATATGCGCATAAACTAGGTCTACATTTGTTCACTGTATCCTATATATAAAAGAGTAATATGCAAATTGACCTAATGGCTGAATGACCAGTCTCGATGACGTACACTGATCACCAGAGGGCAGAAGGTCAATGCAGGAGCTGCCCCCTGGTGGTCAGTGTGTTCCCACAGGGGGAGCACTGTTCAGTCATAAGCCAGGCTGATGGCTGGCGAGCACAGTGGCCTGCCTCCATGGGAGCACTAAGGATGTCTGAGGGCTCCCAGACTGCAAAAGGGTACAGGCCAGGCTGAGGGAAACCCCATCCCCCTGCCCAGTGCACAAATGTCATGCACCAGGCCTCTAGTATGTATATATGTATATATTGTAAAATGATCACCACAATATGGTTTAGTTAACATCCATCACCATACATAGTTATCATTTTTCTTATAATGAGAACTTTTCAGATCTACTGTTGTTTTAGCAACTTTCATACACAATGCAGTATTGTTAACTATAGTCACAAGGTTACACATTACACACTCAGAATTTATATTATAACTGCAAGTTTGTACCTTTTGACCACCTTTGTCTATTTCTCTCACATGCTCAACCCTCACCTCTGCTGACTAAAAATCTGTTCTGTTTCTGAGTTCAGTTTTTTAGATTCCACATATAAGTGAGATTATATAGGATGTCTCTTTCTGACTTACTTAGCATAATGCCCTCATGTTGTAGCAAATGGCAGAGTTTTCTCTTTTTATAGTTGAATAATATTACATTACATATGTCACATTTTCTTTATTTGTCTGTTAATGAACACTTAAATTATTTATACATCTTCACTATTGTAACGCTGCAATGAACAAAGAAATGAAGATATCTCAAGATAGTGATTTAATTTCCTTCAATTGTATTCCAGAAAGTGGAATTGCTTAACCATATGGGAATTCTACTTCTAATGTTTTGAGGAAACTCCATACTGTCTTCCAAAGTATCTATATCAATTTACATTCTCACCAATAGTGGACAAGAGTTCTCCTTCACATCCTTGCCAACACTTATTTCTTGTCTTTTTTATCATAATCATTCTAACAGGTACGATGTGATATCTCATTGTGGTTTGGGTTTGCATTGCTAGAAAGGGGCATTTTGTTTTCTTGTGGAATTCCAGGCAGCTGTGTTATCTTTAGATGAGGCAGCCATCTATGAAGGAGCAGCTTTGGTTCAGAATGTTTGTCCTCTCAAGTCTGTACCATTGTATGTGAATGTTACTGACATACTTCCCTGTAGGGAACCCAGTGTCTCCAGTGGCCACTCTGACAGCTATACATGTAATAGCATATCAATAGCTTGTACTCTGCCTAACGTACTCCCAGTAGTTGGCCTCTCCTACCTAAAGACAGATGACCCATCTATCTTCTCAAGAATCTGTTCTCCCCACTCCACTTTCTTTCTTTTTTTTCTTTTTTTTTTTAATATATTTTATTGATTTTTCACAGAGAGGAAGAGAGAGGGATAGAGTGAGTTAGAAACATCGATGAGAGAGAATCATCGATCAGCTGCCTCTTGCACACCCCCTACCGGGGATGCACCCGCAACCAAGGTACATGCCCTTGACCGGAATCGAACCCAGAACCTTTCAGTTCCCAGGCCGACGCTCTATCCACTGAGCCAAACCGGTCCCGGCTCCCCACTCCACTTTCGACCCCTGTGGCCAGCCGGGCCTAGTCTTTCTGTTGGGTGTCCCCTACCTGCCCATATTTCCCTCCCAGGGAGTTTGGCCAGATGTTGTCTACCAGTAAATGTTCTCAGACCCAGAGGAAATAAGAGCTGTCTCCCAGTAAAGCCAGAATCACTCTGCTGTCTAGAACCTGTAATTCTGCCAAGTGGCCACCCTTCCTTCCCACAGCTAAATAAATAATAATAATTAAAAAAAAGAAAGAAAAGAAAACCTGAGGCTATATCCACAGACACTGATCTCAGCAGCAATTTCCTAGGCCCTCTACTTTTTCTGCAAGTTCCAGGGCTCCTCCTCTGCCAAAGAGCCAGACTCAGCGTGATTATCTATAAAGACGATTATCACCACTTGGACCTAGTATCCTTGGGTGGTAGTCCCTTCCAGGGCTTGCTGGCTCCTACTTGTAGGGAAAGAGCTGCTACCACAGTTGACCCAGGTTTAACAGGAAGCCTAGAATGTGCCATTTATGAGTTGCTCATGGACTTCAGACTCTGGAGAAGGATATATCTGTTCAGTGTTAGAGCAGATTCACTTTGTCCTGGCAAGAACCTCTTCAGGGCCCTTTTAATAAAGATATTAGACAAGTATTCACTCACACACTGTTCAGGAGATTAGTTGGGGGCCTGGATGCTTGACCCATTTCCCGTGCAAGTAGACTCCTTCCATTGTCAGTCCAAGCCTGGGAATAAAAAGAAAGAAAAAAACTGAAATCAGCACTTTCTTTCTGTTCTTTATCATGTCTTTTGATTTTAAAATTTGAGGTTTTCCAATAGTAGTTACTGAATTAAAATAAATACCTAAAATTGGTTTTGTCTAAGTAATATCATTGCTGC